TGCATTTGCTTTCCAGGGTAGAATCAGATTGATTTTTCATATGAAAAAATTTAATTAAATTCCTTTTTTTTTTAATAAAATTATTTATTTGCGCAAAAAACAAGAATAATAGATAGGTAAATTCGTTTTTTTATTTTGAAAAAATAAGAAAAAAAACTATATTGCTGTATGTTTTCTTGAGAACATAAAAAGTACACAACTATTCTGTCTTTAAAAATGTCAATGTTTGCTGGTTTATTTATGTGCAGTTGAAGTGTTTGTTTATAAGTGTTAAACATGTTAAACTTTCGGATACGTTCAAACAAATTTTAACGATAAGCGTTCGTCTTTTCTGAATGATTTTGTAAGTTAAATGTAGTAATTTTATTAGTTAAACAAAAAGTAATTTTCAATGTTTATGCGTTCAAGTTTTTATTTTTTAAGATGTTAATACATTTAATAAATAGCAAATGTAATTAGAGTTGCTTATTGCTTGTAGATGCTTATGTTTTGAATGTCTTAATCTGATGATTAGTTTCGTATTTATGTATGTTTAATGTTTGCCAGTTTTTCCATGTTTAATAATAATGTCTTAGTATGTTTTTGTGTTTGGTTGATGTTTTTTAGCAAACATCGCCGGTGAAGGTTCAATTTCAACTTTGACATATTCTGCGAAAATTTTTTATAGACGCATGCACACAGCACTCATACATACATACATTCATGCATGCATACAAACATGCACACATGCATACATACATACATACATACATACATACAAACATACACATATACATACATACATACACACATACATACATGCATACAAACATACGTACAAACATACATACATACAACACATATTGTATGTTTACCTGCCTTCAAGTATTTCATCGAGTAAACAAACCGCAAGCCAGCGCATCCATGTACCTTTGCACGTATGTCTCTCTTTGCTTCTGTATTTCTGATTGTATATCGTTTTGTGTGTATGTTTGTATCTGTGTGCGTAATTTTGCATCTATTTTTGTATGCGTCTGTATGCTTTCTGGTAAACATGTTTGTATGCAGATTTTTGTTCGTGGATGGATTGGATATACATATGTGTGTATGTTATAATGATTTAATTGTATATTTAGTTGTTTGTGTTTCTTTGTTTATATTTGTTTATATTAAAATGTTTATATTTAACATTTTAGTGTGGGACACAAAATGGCTCTGTCGATAGTGGCAGTTTTCAAATTCAATCCATTGAATAATGTTCTAAGCAAAGTCACGTCTGCATTCTTTTGAATATATTAACAACTTATCATCTGTATGATGTTGTTGCTGTTGGTTTGTTTGTCGGTTGACTGGTTTGTTTGTTAGTGTGCAATGTTTAAATTGTTGATGATTTGTTGGTTGATGTACACATGTGTAAATACAAGCGTTTTTTTGTTGTTTTTTCTTAATTTTTATTCTAAAATTCGACGAAAATTAATAATTTTTCATTTTTTCTGTTAGCATTTACGATTCAAACGCATCTGTCATTTTGAAATTCTGTCCAAGAATGTTCCACATTTATGAAATTTTTATCAGTTGCGAAATTTTTGCACCGAATCGAGGAAAAAAAAATTTTTTCATTTGTTTTTGTTTAAATTTGTTTATTAGTATTTATTTATTTGTTTTTGTTTTAGTTAATTTTTTTGGTAACTCTTTGTGAATGGCACATTTTTTCTTGTTTAATGAACGTTGTAGGCTTTCTTTATACAATAAATTGCTTGAAGACATACTTCGTTATTTACTTCTGTCTATTTATTCTTCTAGTCATGCCTCGCTCATTCCTTCATTCCTCCATTCATTCGTTTATACATTCATTCATTCATTTGTTTGTTCGTTCGTTCGTTTGTTTGTTCATTCATTCATTCATTTATTCATTCATTCATTCATTCATTCATTCATTCATTCATTCATTCATTCATTCATTCATTCATTCATTCATTCATTCATTCATTCATTCATTCATTCATTCATTCATTCATTCATTCATTCATTCATTCATTCATTCATAGATTCATTCATTCGTTCGTTCGTTCGTTTGTTCGTTTATTTGTTTGTTCATTCATTCATTCATTCATTCATTCATTCATGCATTCATTCATTTATTCATTCATTCATTCATTCATTCATCCATTCAACGTAGGCTACATGCAGTATAGTACTATATATAGTATTATGCATATTGCTATATATAGCACTGTATGAATATTTTTTATACACCATACATACATAGTATATGTATATGTAATACTTTTAAGTTTCTTTCAAGTATTTCATGTTATTTTTTATTGCAAATTTCGTTAGCGAATGCCAAACTGGCATCATCTAACCCACGCCTTTAACATTTCAAGAACTTTATGTGATTCTTAAAGAGATAATGATGATGATGACGAAGATGATGATGAGGATGACGATGATGATGGTGGTGATGATGACGACGGCGATGATAATGAGGAGAATGATGACGACGACAATAAGGAAGATGATGATGATTATAAAAGTTAAGATTATAATGATGATGATGATGATGAATGTATGCAAAGATGTGTGGGTGTCACTTTAATGATATTTTTACTCGCATTTGATGCCATTTAAGAAATTAACTCGAATACTTTTGAAAAACTGTTTTTTAGCAAAAAAAAAATTTTTAGCATCACGACCACGCAAAATTTGAAGCCTAATAGAAAAAAATTATCCGAGATGTTTTTATTTTTTCGTTAAAAAACAAAAAATAATGTTACAAAAAGTTGATATAGTAGGCGTTTCTTGATGTAGATATGAGTCGGGAATTTGATTTATGGCGAGATTAAATGCATCGAAATAAAGATGAGGTGAAAATATAATAAATTATTCTACGGAAGAATGAATGAATGACTGAATGAATGAATGACTGAATGACTGAATGAATGAATGAATGAATGAATGAATGAATGAATGAATTAATTAATTAATTAATTAATTAATCAATTAATCAATCAATTAATCAATTAATTAATTGAAAAATAATAAATAAAACAACGAGAGTTCATTTTAGCGAAATTTTCAACAAATTTTTCAAGTTACGCTTCAAAGTGCCATTAAATTAGGAATCGAAAGTCTCGAGATTTTTGTTGAAAATAGGACGGCCATTGTCGAAAGTTTCCCGTGGAAGTTATATTAATAAAGATGGTTGGTGGTCGCGGCGAAGATGGCGATGATGACGACGACGATGGTGACGATGACGACGATGATGAGGACAACAAACGTCTAAACAACAGCAGCAACCAACAATAATATAATCTCCGAAATGAGAACGACGATGACAATAACATCAATAATAATAAGAATAATAATAAGAATAATAACCCCTATATAAATGACAACCACACCAACCACACGATAGTACGTTATATGGTGGTGGTAAGGAACACGACCACAGGACACCTCAGAACGAAACCGCGGATCCTAATGGCAATCGCCTGCGTCTGGATCATGTCCTTTGCCCTCAGCTTACCGGTACCGTTCTATTACCGAGTCGATATTCGCTGCAGTATCGACCGAGATGTCGGTCTCAAGTTTGGCTGGGCTTTCTTTATTCTGGGGTAAGATCGTTAGGGTGATGATGATGATGGTGGTGATGGTGATGATGGTGGTGGTGATGGTGATGATGATGGTGAAGACGCTCCTGTTGCTGCTGCTGCTGTAGTGGTAGTAGGAGTAGTATTACTACAACTACCAAATGCCGTAAATAACTAAAAGTCAAGGTAAATGTGAAATTAAATCAATATAAAAACATACTGGGATGTTTTTTTTGCTGGAATATCAGATTGTATTTTATTTTTGTTTGTCTGTCTGTCCGTCTATGTGTCTGTCTGTTTTTCTTTCTGTGTGTCTGTCTGTGTGTCTGTCTGTGTGTCTGTCTGTTTTGTTGTTTGTATGTCTAACCTTTCTCTTTGTCTGCTTGTTCGTTCGTCTGCATAGTTGTATATTTGGCATTATGTTTAGTTGTATCTGTATGGTACTTTAGTTTTACCTTTGTTTAGCAGATTGTCTGGTTTGCTGGTTGTTTGTTTGTTTTTATGCTGGGTGTTTGTCTGTCTAGTTGTTTGTTTGTCTGTCTGGTTGTTTATTTGTTTGTCTATTTGTCTGTCTGTTTGGTTCTTGCCTAGATTTTTGTTTGGCTGGTTGATAGGGTATCTACATGTATGCTGAGAATCCTTGATTTACGATCTGTTTTGATAAGATGAAGATGGGAATTGAAATGAAGAAGATGACGACGACGACGATGATGATGATGATGATAAGGGAGAAGAAGACTGTTGAGCCTCTACCGTTATTTATGATGATTGTCATGATGATGATGAAGACGACGACGATAATAATGATGATGATGACGACGATGATGATGATGATCGTTACTATGATGATTATTGAAAAGGGTCAGTGTTAATTTTTTTAATGTTAATATTTTTATTTAATTAATCTTTTTTCTATTTATTCAATTATTAATTCCTAAATCTTTTCCATTATTGATTTATTTATTATTTCCAAACACACACATACACACACAGACACACTCATACAGACGTTAAAACTCAAACATACACACTCATACACACGCAGAAGCACACACACACACACACACACATATTCAAACACGTTTAAACTAGGATGCATACAATTTTACATAGAACGACCCACCTTTCAGCAGCACAATTAAGCCAGAGAGCCAACATTCTGTTGCATATATCAACAAACAAACTTAAAACAAAAAAGTAAAACACTACATAAAAAAAAACATACACACAGACACAAACAAACACACATACACACGCATACAGCACACATGCATCTACAGAAGCACATACACACAAACACACACAGACACAAACATACACACACAGGCACAAACATACACACGCATGCACACAGTTACGTTCTGCCACTTTTTACAATAAGTCTGTTGTACGTTTCGATCATTCACCACATCTATCGCAAGAGGATGTCCGTCTGCACTGTTCAGGGCAGACCCAGGATCAGATCAGAGCTTAAGACCAGACAGGTTTATTTAATGGTTGATTGGATGGTTGATTGGATGGTTGATTGAATAGTTGATTGGATGGTTGATTGGATGGTTGATTGGATGGTTGATTGGATGGTTGATTGGATAATTATAATTGATTAAATAGTTGATTGAATGGTTGATTGGATGGATGATCGAATGAATAACTAAATGAACGGGTGAACGAGAAAATGGATGAAATGATGGATAGATGGATAAAAAAAGAAGAAACGAACAAATGAACATACAAACGAATGAATGAATGGATGATGAATAGACAAATGGATAAGCGGACAAACTAATAAATGAATGAACAAATGAAAGAAATGAACAAATGAAAGATTGAAAAATGAACGAAAAACATTAGGCCGGCAAGATGCTGGTGACGGTCCTGTTCGCCTTCTTCACCTTCCTTCTACCAATCCACATCCAGATGCTGCTGCATTATTACGATGCACTGCCCCAAAAGTCAGCCAATGATGATTTTTATTATATAGTATTAAATTGTGGGGAAAATGGTGATGATAATTTTGATTATGATGATGATAATAATGATGATCATTATTAAACTCTTACAGCAAACACACACAGAGATACACACTCGTGTATACACACACACATATACACGCAGGCACACACGCACACACACAAATAAACACCACCACCATCATCCAATCAACCAACCTACAGCGACTTGTATCAAATCCTCTCCATATTTTTCAACTGCCTGGCCTACACCAACTCAGTCATCAACCCGTTCATCTACAACCATTCGTCAAAAGACTTCAGAGACGCTTTCAGGGAGGTCGTCTGTTGCCACGTGGACCCGAGGTGTCAGCCCGTCATGTGCTACCCCCTCTCAAAACTCAAACGCCAGTCGGATTGCTTCGACGACAACGCCCCTTCCATTGCGGACAACTTCATTGAGGCGGCGAACGACGATGAGGGCCACACCCGTCCAACTTCTCTGGCCGGGGCGGGAGCCCTGAGTGTCAGAAGTTTCAACGATGGTAATTCTGAAGGGGTAGATAGATTTGGAAAAAAGAGATGTGAAGAAGATGGAAGAAGAAGAAGAGGAGGAGGTGAGATGCTGAAGATGGGAAGTGATGAGGTATTCGAAGGTGAATGTTGTAGTAAGGATGGTTGTGAAAGCAAGCGTGCTGTAGAGAATTCTGAGGAGGTTTGTAACAAGGCCAGCATTTGCAACCTGGATGCTAGCAGTAAGCATGTTGCTTTCAACCAAAACTTCATTGCGTGTGGTGACTGCGTTGGCGTTAAGAACGGCGCAAACAACAACGCAAACAACAACAACGTATCACTCAACCAAATCAGTTCTAACGACACGGACGTCAACCTCAAATACGTTGAAGTACTTGAGGACCATGAAACTCATGCCACAGAAAGCCACGACCACCAGCAACAACAACAGCCCGGTAGCCACAAAGCAAATAAAACCAACAACGACAGCAGTAACAACAACTACATGCAGTCTAACAACAATATCAGCAACAACAACAGCTTAACATTTTACCTCATCGGCAACAATTGAAAAATTTACATATGGTTACAATGGCCACGAACAAACGAATCAAATGTAGACGCACATACACACACACACACGCACATACATCCAAACATCTATACAAGCAGACATACAAAAAAAGATGCACATCAATTAATGTATATATCTGCATATGTTAAAGACCGTGCGTGTGTGTGTGATTTTTGGTAATTTTTGTGTAATGTATACGTGCGTGTTTGTGTACGTGCGTGCGTGCGTGTGTTTGTATCTTATTATATTTTATAACGACAAAGTTTAAGAAACATTTAATACGTCTGCCTGTCGTTCGTCAACTGACATTTTCACTTTATTTATTTTCCATGCCTGTCTAAACAAAACTTAAAACAGCTAACACACAAGATAAATCAGTATCAACGTGAAATATAATTCTAGTATTTAGTTCTTTGAAGATTTGCATAGCGTCTGACGCTAAATTTGTGGTGTACATTTTGTAAAAAAGTATGCGCACAAAATGATCATACTTAAATAACAACTGTCCCCTGTAGCACATACACTCACACGCACACACCAAGAGAGAGAGAGAGAGAGAGAGAGAAAAAGAGAGAGCGAGAGAAAAAAAGAGAGAAGATGAGAGGAAGAGAGTGAGAGAGAGAGAGAGAGAGAGAGAGAGAGAGAGAGAGAGAGAGAGAGAGAAATCCACATAACCCATATAACCATCACGGAAGGCAACCGACAAACGAACGTATACATTCTACGTAAAAAAATGTACAGACAAAATGATCAGACCACTGCTTCATTAAAACGTACAACGACAATTGTACAACGACAAGTGTACAACGACAAGTGTACTACCACATGTGTACTACTATTGCCATTGTACAAAATTTGTACAAATATATGATGTATGACATCCATTGTACATCATTAATAACTGGGTATTTACATACATACTAGTGCATATTTTTCCTCATGTAACTGATACGATGTGTAAATACTTGTATACATTGCAATTATATTGATTCTTATTATTATTATCTTATCTTATTATTATTGCTATTATTATTATTACAATTACGATCTATTTTAGACGTTATCAGAAGCGTTATTATTCTTATTATTATTATTGTTGTTGTTGTTGTTGTTGTTATGGTTAATTTTTATTATTGATATTTTTAAATTTTCGAGCTTTCTTAGAATAAATACCAACAGATACAAACAATCCATCATTCTTGCATGGATTTTTTGGAATTTTAAGTTCAATTTTTTGATTTAATGCCATATAATTCAATACCGCTATAACAACATATACAAATACTTTTGGTATTTTTGTATAACACGCTAAACTAATACCATGTTGTTTGTAGCCGCAAGATATGATAATGCCAAGCAAAACGTCTATTAATACGTCAACAAGACACACACACACACACGCATCACGCACCCATTGGGTGTGATAGATGCGGATCTTCTTGCATTTAAACCCGGTTACTACGACAACAATGTCAGACGCCTTACTCGTTAAATAAACCATCTCGCCACTTGATTATTATTATATCCTTGCTAATATTTATACTACATGTAAGTGACAATTTGATGACAATAATAACGGTGATTATAATAATGTTGATGTTGATGATGATGATGAAAATAATAATATTAATGATAATAATAAAATAATAAATGAAAAATAATATTTAAATGTAGCACTTTATGTAGCACTTCAGATCTTATAAATCTTTCTTGGATGAACTAATTTCATCACAGCAACGTGAACAACAGCTCAACAAAATTTATTGGACATATTTTATTCATTTCTTTATTATTCACTCATTCGTTCATTCATCATTCCTTCGTTCGTTCGTTCGTTCATTCGTTCGTTCATTCGTATTTTTATTTGTTTAACTAATTCATAAAAACTTGAAAATATTTTTATAAATATAAATTTTTTTTAATCAATTGATTAAAATTTAAAATAAATAACATTTCTTACCGATTGACGTCTAGTTCTTTTACATTTAAAATTAAATAAATAAATGAATAAGCATTGTCGGAAGTTTGTTTCTACGATTTCATCCACAAACAAACTGTATCATTTATTTTGTATCAAAAATCACGTACATACAAAAAACACACCACACGCACACCACACGCACGCACACACACACACACACACACACACACACACACACACACACACACACACAGGTTTATCGTCGTCAGTTATGAAGTTTGTGTTGAATCAATTAAAACAATACAAAATTGTTGGAAATCTATGCTATTCTATACAAATTATACACAAACAAGAATACAATTATACCAAACGGCATATCCGTAAATACCTAAAGAAAAAGGCAAGTTCGATACACTAATTCTCTATTTTTGCGTATCAACTTTCATATAATTAACAGGTAACAAAACAGATTTCGCAGTCACTTCTGACATCTTGCGAGAGTTTTTCTCTCATGTGGAATGAATGGAAAAGTGTGCCGCTGTATGATTTATTACCCTCATGTGCTTCTCCGTGACGTTTGTTTGCTCTTCTGTTCGTTCGACCGTTCGTCCGTTCGTTCGTTTGTTTATTGTTCATTCATTTGTTGGCTATTGTTTTTTATATTAAGAAGGGTGATGAATAACGATGACGACTATGCCGTTGATGATAACTGGTGATAGGTGGGTGATAATAATTGTGAAAGAAAAAATTGTTCAAATCACAAGTTGTTTTTATCAAATTGATGATGAAGATCAAAGAAATTTGGAAAATATTATCAATAATGATGAAAAAAATGACGAAATAGGTTTTAATTATATTTCAGGAGTTGATTTGCCGATTTTTGGGACTTAAAAATCGAAAAAAAATTGCGGTCTGGCTGTCTTTTAATCGCCATGAATCACTGAAATTAAAATATTCCATTGTATAAAGTTTGAAAAAATAAATTTATTTTCTAAAAAAATTTCATTAAAATGTTGGTCCGCATTTTTAGTTTTAAAATATTTGGAGATGTTAAATAACCTAGAATAAAATAAATAAATAATTGAATAAAAAATATGGCAAATTCAACTTACATAAATTATAAACTCCTCGTTGTAAAAATCACACACGGACTCCCAGGATCTCTGCTGCTGATGGTGATGATGATGGTGGTGGTGGTGGAGATGATCATGGTAATGATGACGAACTTCCAAGGGCAAGGTCACCTTGACCAGAGGGAGATTTTGAAAAATAGAGTTCGGCGTTGTTGGGGATGAAAATTCAGTAGATGAAGTTTGTTCATCACTCGATATTAATAAGTCTGTCCTCTCTGCGCTCTGATTGGTCGGCTTCGTCGGTGACGTCATATTTGTACTGTCCAATAGGAAGCGAAGATGGTTGATGTACTCTATAGCGCATCTTAAGGTTTTCACCTGGTGGTGATAGTGGTGAAGTTTTTATGGGGCAATATTGAGGAGGTTGTCGACAATGGTTGAAACATGCCTTTGAGACATGATCAAACGTTTAAAAAAAATAAAATCTATCAAAAATAACGACAAGAGATGAAAATGAACAAAAAATGGCAGTAGCAGTATCAGAAGTACAACAAAAGTCGCAGGCTTTAGAACTGCACTAACATTCAATAAAAATTTTTGCGTTCTTGTAAAATCCTGACGAAAAAGCACTACTACCTTTTACAAATCAGTTTTAAAAATGTGACCTAACAACAAACAACCACGTCATGAACACACAACAACCACTACCTGACAATTACTTATCCTCACTTCCAGATAGGCACAACAGCCAACCGCTAACAACACAGCCAAACATCAACACCTTGTATTACCATCGAGCAAAACAACTGCAAGACTACCTGACAATATTAACAACGACACTGATAAAATTTTAACAATTGTAACCAAGACAAGATTTGGACGTCTGAAGGCCGTAGAATAATTTCAGAATAAAAGTATAAAAAAACTCCTCTTAAAATTTTACAAAATTTATTGCCTAAAAACCATTTTCATAAAATAGTGTAACAGTTTGTCAAAGTCAAATGCAAATGATATAACAAATAAATTGCCACTTCAACAAATTATATTTGCGCTGGTCTTGTTGGTTGAAAAAAATGTTTGCCGAGAAATGATCGTAAAACTTGCTAACTTTTCGTAATTTGAGTGTATTCATTTAAATCTATGAGGGATAGGACCCTCCCTGTGTAAGCCCCAAGGCAGAACCCTCTACTAAATCCGACTCTGAGCTCATTGAAATTATCAACACAAGGACTACAACAACAATGACAACCAACCTTCGATAACCTCTTATTTTTATTTCCAAACGGAATGTGCTTTCTTAGCTTCAAGAACGCTCCATTGACGGCCTGCACGCGCCGACGTTCTCTGGCGTTTCTCTTTGCCACCAAATGCGCTGGCTTCTCGCGGTGGGGCACGTGTTTGTAGTTGTTTTTTCGAATGTGGTGGCCACTATTGCTGCTGCGACTGCTGCTATTGTTGTTGTTGAGTGTAGCAGTATTAATTATGCTAGTGTTAGGGCTGTTGTTTGCAGTGTTTGTGTTGTTGCTATCCATGCTTCTTGAGTTACTGACGCCACTGCAGACGTTATTTGCACTGGGTAATATAATGTTTATGTTGTTGTTTTTGTCGTTGTTTTCAATTGGACTCATGCCATTTACAATTCTGTTGTTGCCAATGGTGTTGTTGTTTGTTGACATTCTCAGATGTATTTGTCAGATTTCAAATTATTCTTTGATGAATCAACCTTTCTTGTAAGCAACATTTTTTTGCAACATCTGAAAGGTATCTTCATGTTTTCGTCTGAGTTGTGACGGTTTCCGTTAATGTTATTGCGTAATTGTTGTTGTTGTTGTTGTTGTTGCTGTTGTTGAAAAAGAAGTTAATGTGATAGTTAATATTTTTTAACTATGTTGGAGTTTTTCGGGAAAAATTGAAATTAGAAAAGTAATAAAATTCATTTTAAAACAGATAAATGGTTGACAAATTATAATATCTTGTTAGCTGGATATTTATACAAATCCTCAAACAAGCTTCGACGTGATTGGTTGTCAGCATCCAACTGATTTCAAAAACTTTAATATGATTGGTTATTCAGGAGCGTACTCGTTCGTGATTGGTGGAATTTTGGTATTGAAATATCACTATAATTTTCAGTTTTGTATATTTTTGTTTATCTCGTTATAATTCATTCATATTTAAATTATTTCAGTCAAGTTGATGAAGAATATTTCAGATGGATCATTTTTATAAAGGTTCATTCATTCGCCAATGTTAATTAATGTCATGTAATTTTGCGTCTGGATTCTCAGCTAAAAATCTTTATAAATTACATATATGAATATATATGTTAATTATATATATATATATATATGCATAGGTTTATGAAATATATATATATGTATATATATGTATATATATATATAGAGAGAGAGAGAGATGGAAAGAAAGAGAGAGTATGTCCAACTTGCTATGATTGATGTTGACCGACAGGAAATTGTCAGAAGAAGGTCAGCTGTTTGAATTCTGTAGCGCTTAACTCTTTGAGTCATTATCATCATCATCGTCGTCGTCGTCATTATCGTTAACGTCATCAATGTCATCATCACTGTCGTCATCGTCATCATCGTCGACTTCATCATTAAATCACATTACCATCAAGAAAATCGTCATTGTCACAGTATAATTATCATCATCATTTCTACTTTCATCCTCATCCTTCTCATCATCATCTTCTCTCATCATTGTTGGAACCATCTTCATCATCACGTCACAATCTTCATCACCGTCATCATCATCGTCGTCATTATCACTGAAACCATCATCAAAGCATTGTACAATTTGGCCGTGTTATCAAAAGAAAGATCTTGGAAGAAAATGTTTTTTAATGGCCATTCCTACGTTGTGTCTATTTTTATCCCCATCAACTTCGTTAGTAATTATTTCAACGGCATTTTGATAAATTAATTTTTTTGTTATCATCCTCTTCACCACCATCTTCGTCATGTCATCACCATTATCAATGTCATCATCATCTTCTTTATCAAAACGCATGTGTGCACTTACAAACACACGTATATACACACATGCACGCACACATACATACACACAATAACATACAGCGTCTCACATAATTACGTCATAATGTTTGTTTACAGCTTGTTTAATTGTTCTTGGGTCAGATTATTGTTCTTTGGTCAAGATGGCGGTAATGGACTGCGCATGGCGGAAACAGGTTGCACCTGCCGAAGCTCATGAATAATGAATTGTTGAGCGCTTTTTCTATGCCCGTCTGACGCGCGCGCATGTGTGTGTGTGTGTGTGCTTAATCGTTTGTATGCGTGTACATGTGTGCGTGAAAAGCAAAATGTTTGCTTTCAAAAGCTTGCCTGCATAACACAAACGAACAAAACACTAAAAATTGTATCTAAATAAAGATTTTACTACCACAGAATGTATGTTTCTGTTAATAACAACATTTAAAGATATAAAATTAAATCAAAATAATCATTCTGAATTTGAATTTTTGTATAATAAACGTAAAAGCATTTATAAATCAAGCTTATACTATACAGCAACCCGTTATTTACAAATAAATAAATAAATAAATATTTGTAAATAATTCTAAAAAAAACAAGTATATATATATATATATAAATTGTGTGTATTTATACCTTATAAAGTACCCCCATACATACTAGACTATTCAGAATATAGCATATCTGGTATTGATATACCCTAGCAACGTACATCCAAACGACCCGCATATAACCTGATAGGGTAATTTGTTCCAGAGATTATCAAAAAATGTGCACGATGAAGCAATAGCAATATTAAATTATGAAAAAAATAAAAATTATTAATATAATTAATATTATTCATGATTATTATTAATGTTATTAATGAATAATTGTAATTAATTATTAATGTGGAGATTGATAGAAAATACAAAACATTGTTCGGACAAAATATCACATCAGAAAGAAACTTGGCCGGGTAATGATATTGTTTTCAATGGTCGAAAAAATAATAATAATAAAATACATTACAGTCGCTACAAGTTCATCAGTTGGTTGTAATCATGGATTTAATGATTACAACTAACTGGTAAACTCGCGATACACTTGTATATATATATATATATATATATATATATATATATATATATATATATATATATATATCCATAGTTTGTAAGTAACTCTATCGCGGACGTCACAATAGTCTTTATTAGTTTTAATTTTATTATTTTCATCGTCATCTTCATCACTTCGTCATCATACTTTTCGTCTTTTCCTTCTTCATCATGGCTCTTGAGAGAGTTATTCTGTAAAAGTTATTATCATCATTATGTTGATCATTGTTACTAAACTAACACAATCATTCGTCGTCGTCATCATCGCTGTTAATGCCATTCTTGCCAGTCATTATCATCATCGTCGTCATCATCTTCATCATCATCGTCATCTTCACCATCATCGTCTTTTTCATCATCATCACAAACCGTAATCACCATCATCGTATTCATCTTTCTTAGCATCATCTGCGTCGGTTGAGTTAATACAGAGATTAGATATAAATTTTATTATAAAAATAATAACAGTCGCTTAATTATTCATTTGAAACAAATTATTAGTGAACTAATCTAATATTTATTAAAAAATAATGCTTCAATTATGAAGCAACTTGTAAGAATACGACTAATTCATTAGAGTAAATAAACTAATTTCACTAGCAACCAGCTGACCGATGAAATAGTTACTGACCGATTTTGCCAGTAGCAGTTTTTCCAGATGGTGTAGTTTTTTTAACATCTTGGTCACCCTTCATTGGAAGGCCTGGAGTAACTTTTGGAATAAATGTTTGTTCGGAATTATCTTGTATGCGCGCGTAAATTTGAGTGCGTGATACGTGTGTATTATGAATTACGTAAAAATAATCAAATTACTCTCAATTTGAGGTATTGAACAGCCACATACTTTTGGAGCCAGGCCTGCTGTCCTTTCCTCCTCCTGATTTTCCTCCATCATTGACAGCACCACCAGTAACACCGGCATTACCACCACCAACATTGCCAGCAGCAGCAGATTTTTTGGTAGTTATTCCTACCGCGAGTTTTGTCTCCTTATCAGAAAGATCGGAGTAATCGTAGTCATCATCTTCATTATCACCTTTCGCATCTTTCTTGACAGATTTGTTGTCGTTAACGTTTTTATCTGCCGCAACTTTCAATTTATTTGGAAATTTTTGTTGATCGAAATTTCCACCAGCCGGGTTACCGGGTTTGCCAGCGTCCACGTTCTTGGCAGCATTTTTATCCACATCATCTGTTTTGACCAAATTCTTATCGACGTTGGGTCTTTCAGTGAAAGTAAACTTCCTAGGAGGTATGTTGCCCTGTACGCCGTCTGGGGAGGGGGTGATGTTGGGCCTGCCCATGTTTGGATCCATGTTCTTCTGTTTGTCCGCCCACGTTTTGCCGGATTTGTCGGTCTTGCCATCGTCTGGAAGTCCAAAAGGTTTGCCCCCCAAAAATGGAGGACGCTCTTGCTTCGGTTGATTTGTTTTAGAAGCAAAAATGTTAGCGGGTGTTTGAGTTGAGTGAGGAGTCTGCACGCCATCTGTGATGATGCGATGATGTGATAATGCGATGATAGGATGATGTGATGATGCGACGACGTGATGATGCGATGATGTAATGATGTGATAATGTGATGATGTGATAAATTTGATATGATAGATATGAACAAATGATGTTCTAACAGTTCTAACAAAATAATCATGTTTGTAAAGTACTTTAGAACATAGCAACGAATCATGCTGTTAATAATGTTAACGGTACTGGGAGAAATCAATTTCGGTAGTTGAAAAAAGATGCCTAGAGATAATTAATTGATGTATTTGTAGCGTACATACATGTTCATACAATGCCTAACATATGCAGACAAGCTATTAGGCTGTGTGTAATTTCTCATTGGTATGCTGGTGTGTACATTGTTAAAACTGAAAAATTTTAAAACATGTATGGTTGATTATAGTATATATTTATAATGAAAAACCTGCAGTTAGAAACCAACGGTGGGTAGAGCTGGTTCTACTTACATCTACACATATTTGTTATACTAAGTTTTACACTTGAGTTTGGTTATACATGAAATATAAATTAAAGCTTAATAATTTAGTTAAAATTTTAATATGTTTATTTTATTTTCACAAAAATTTAAAATAATAAACACAAAGAATGATGAAAATATATACATACTTCCAGCAGATGGTTGTTTCATTGCCTGTTTTGTGAAAATTTTAAAATATAATATATAGTTTGTCAAAATACAATTATATAAGAATATTTTTTATTCATAAATTTATAGCAGAGATTATTTTGTGATAAAAATTTTTAAAAATTGCAATGAAGAGTACTACATCTTTGGGTTGGTTCTGGCAAACTGCTAGTCTGCCTTCCAAGATCTTTGTTCTTTCTGCACAGTCATCAGAACATTTATTCAAATCCGTCTTTAGCTATTTTTAACAACAAATTCCTTATTTAATATGGAATACTTAAGCAAAATGTTGTCAAATTTATCTAAAAAAATTACAAGGTATGGATGGGTCTTACATCACCTGTTGATATTTTTCAGATTCTTGCTCACTGTTCTTGGCAAACATTTGAGATTTAGATTTTTCTCTGAACATGGCGTCCCGGCAATCTTTCAACTGTACATCAGACAAAGTAGATATAAAATTTAATTAAAGATTATTTTAAACTCTAGATAAGCACTTTATAACCCACAAAAATTATAACTCATCAGAGATGTTCATTTTTTACAAAGTTCTATAATAATTATTTTGACTAATGCAAAGAGTTAAAATGAAATGCTAACATCCCCATTCATCTGTTGCATCTTTTTCAGAAATTCGTTACTCCTTTTAATATTGGCTCTCAGTTTTTCATTTTCATTGTAGAGATCTCTATTTGTGCTGACCAGCACCCACCATCTATAGGCCAGGAAGAGGCAGAGGATGACGAACAGCAGGAGGAAGAGTTTTATGATTTTTGATAAGCCATTGATGGCTGATCTGTTGGAACCAAGTGATTCGGCAAGGGGTTGCTTTCCCAGGAGTGTCATTTGTTTGATCAATTCGGTCAATTCAGGTAATACAAAATACTGCGCATACACGAATTTATTTCTTCAATTACTACCCCTCAAGTATTCGTTGGAAAGTTGTGTTAATTTTAATTTATTGCGTGGATAAATTGTAAAACTGAAAAAATAAATTCAACAGCACTGAAAATGTATTCTAGGTGAGTTAACGCGAACAAGCGTATCAATCAATCAATGCATTACATTACAACTCACATATAACATGAGTATAACATACTTTTTAGTACATACCTACCTAATAAAACATATATAAACAATTACACACATTATTATCGGATATATGAATGTATATAATATAATACATACATATGTATGTATGTATGTATGTATGTATGTATGTATGTATGTATGTATGTATGTATGTATGTACATATGTATGTATGTATGTATGTATGTATGTATGTATGTATGTATGTATGTATGTATGTATGTATGTATGTATGTTTGTCTGCTTAAGAACCAAGCACTTAGCAACACAATAGTAACTACGCAGGCACTTAGGAAACATTCACCAGGTGTGTTCTTGTCGTCATCATAGGTGAAACAACATTTCAAATGGAATTTCCGAAAGATTGTAAAACAAAATTATACAAATATATATTAATCATATTATATTGTTGAATCAAATAGCTAGAATTAGGATTGAATTAGATGAAAATGAATCGAACCCATTGTAGTTACTTAACTTTGAACACACCATGTACCTTTAATAGTCCTTTATTTTCTGTACTTTAAATAATTTATATTGCCGTCTAGTTACTTGACGCGATTTGTGCGATATTTTTAATCTCTTGAGTTATTTTCCAGATGCAACAGTAGTCCCATTTCCGACCATTCAAACAATAAAAAGATACGTCCCCAAACAGACACAAACAACTTTTTCCATATAACTTTATTGACAATTGACAGTAATAAGAATATATTTGGGTACAAATGTTACACGAACTGTACATGCGTAATGATGAATAAAAATAAATTGAAGAGATTGAGTTTTTGTTACAGAAAACAACGAAAAATATATTAAAAGTTAATTAATTTCATCAAAATAAGCCCGAAATGTGCTTTTTAATCGATCATGATATGAACCAGATGGATTGACATTGTATGAACTTCCCCTAGATCCCAACCCCGCTGCAGACTGCCTCATTGTCGCCTGTCAAATTTAAATTATTTATTTATTGAGTATTGAAAAAATTTTTCACTGGGAAACTTTAAAAAAGCAAATTATTTCACAATAAACCATAAATTAGCATAAAAAATGACCTCAATTGGGTTAACAATTCCTTGTCCGGCCTTCCCTAATCCCTGTCCATCCTTCCATCCCATTTTTTGCAGAAGCCTGTTGCCAACATTATCCTCCTTTATCCCATTTTGAGTCGGTGTTTCCGTGCTGTCGCGTGATCAGAAATATAATGATCAATAAATGCGATGCGTCTTTAAAAAACTAACTGACTGAAATTACCTCTAATAATGCCACTAATAACTAAATCAACATCCTACTAACAACCAACGATATCAAAAACCAACACGAACTGTACATACGCAATGATGCAGCAGCAGCAACAACTAACAACATCGCTGATGACAACAACAACAACTAACACATATTTCCTTTCTGCCTCCACTCGATGTCGTCTGTTTTTCATCGGTGGTGGGTCTGACTCGCCAAACTTTTCCCTCCTCTCCCTAGCTCTATCTCTATACTGCTGAGCCTTGAGCATTGAGAATGGGTATTAGTAATAGAATTTAGGTATCGAATTGGTATTACAAGATTGGTATTGACAATGAAATCTACAGTAACGATTAAATGACTTTTTAAAAACACTTGTTTGAAAAATCTACACAACAAATTCAAATAAAATCGTTATATTATAAAAAAAATTAACAAACATTAAATAATAACGGTTTTTAGTACAACTGAAGGCATAGAGGCACAAGCAAATGTGTAAAGTTTGTACTAATTATAATGAAACTTACTTCATCCGAATACTCCCCTCTTGATTTTTGATAATCTTCTAAATTTTTCTAGAGAATTGTTATTGCCATAACATCATCAATCATTTGCAATGTTTAATAGTTATTATTATTATTACTTATTACCTCACTTGTACTACACACACACACACACACACACACACTCACTCTCCCTCTCTCTCTCTCTCTCTCTCTCTCTGAAAAGACAAGCTGGCAAAAAGAATCACACGCGCATACACACACACACACATACATACACACACACGCACAGAAAAATTATACAATATGATAGAAAACAAACACATAAAAAATACAAATCCAAAATAATCACTTCCAGCCGAGAGAAAACAAAATCGAGAAAAACAAACGAAAAAAAATACAAGTACCTTATGTAAGTCAGAGAATTGCTGATGTTTCACCAATGTTTCCTTAGTTGTAAATACCCTTCTGCACAACAGGCAGGTCATCTTTGCCCAGTCGATCATGTCACTTTCACTTCTGTATATATTATTATTACTACCATTAGGCTGAGGAGTTGATGTCATTGTTGACGACGACGCTGATGAAGATTGTTGTTGTTGTTGTTGATGTTGATCTTCATACTGTTGGGGTTGTTGTTGTCGTGTGGGCGAGTCGTAATTGAAGAGCGACATCATTGATCCTGGGGAATCTTTCCTTGCGTACGATGAACTGCTAACAGGAGGCTTTTAAATGGAATAATAACAAAATTAAAAATTAATATTAATGATAAAAATGATAATAAAAATGCTAAATATTTAGCAGGAATATCATCTAACCTCAGTTGACGTGCTGTTATGTGAATATACGTCGTCCAATCTTTCTAGAGTATTCCTACTGCTTGCTGATGACTGTGTGATGACGTAATTATGACGTCATGATTAATACAACACCAAGAAGAGGAATAAAAATTATTATTACTATAATTATAACAAAAGCATACTTTTTCAAGAAGTGAGTAGCAGAGATCAGGTGCCACAGATGATGATGACGACGAAGATAATGATTGCTGTTGTTGTTGCACCTGTAGATCAGATGAAAACTTCTTAGACTCTTTCTGAGAATTCATCTTTTTTGCCCACTTTTCCATATCCTGTATCAATAATTATGGTAGTACAAATGATAAGATTGACTGTATCATTTAAGATCAAAGCTATCATATTGCTATGCTAAAGAGTTAATTCTCCTAAATGGAACAGTCACTACCTTTGCTATTTTTTTGGCCATTTTAACTTTTTCAGGAGATTCAGATTTTTGTTTAGTGACTGTGGACTCGGCAGCATTGGTTTGTTGTTGTTGCTGCTGCTGCTGCTGTGCACTTGCAACAGGAATGTATGTGTGTTGTTGACCATCCCAATACATGAAGTGTTGTTTTTGCGTGTTGTAGAAATACTGCAAACAACAGTTGTTAAACATAATACAGCAACATAATAACGTTAACGCAAGTACAAACAGTGATGATAGATATAATATAAGAATGGGTATAAAGCAAGTAGAACAAAATGTAACCTGGCTCTTAGCATCATAGTAGAAAGATGTTGAGGCATCGTAGTAGTAGCCAGATGGTTCATCGTAAGTAAATTTTGATGTGTCAGGAGTAGCTAAAGTAAAACAAATGAATATACTTTTACCACTGACTCACTATTGAACCTATTTATTAACAGTATGAAACATGAACGTAAACTCACGGTATCTAGGGTACTCTGAACTAGTAACAGCTGTTGAGAGAGCGGTAGAAGCAGATGAAGATGCTGTAGAAGCAGTTGCTGCTGTTGAAACAGCTGCAGCTGAAGAAGCAAGAGCAGTAGCTGGAGCAACATAAGGGCCCAGTAAGCTCGAGGAACTAGCTGCTTGTTGCTGGTAGTGTAGCTGCTGTTGTTGCAGGATCAGTGCAGTAGCCTTCCTATTCTGTGTTGTTTTCAGCATGGCAGCTTGTACTACAGCTGCTGCCTGGTTGGCCGTTATGTCTGAAATTAGATGAAGGATTTAAACTTTGAATGAGTCAACTAATTAAAAGTTGAATGAATGAAAGTACTGAACTATTTCAACCCATAATTATAACATGAAAGTATGCAAATATAATGAATGCCCATACAAAACCTTGAGCATTGTTGTACGTTTGTTGAGATTGTTCGTAATAAGAAGTGGTGTTCATCTGGGCGTCAGATTCAAAAGTGGATATCCTGTCTCAAAAATTGTTCTTCATTTATAGCATGCACGCACATTTTACTAGCAGGAATATACAAGGAATATATGCATAGAAACATAATCTGCCACATGAGACACAACAACATACAGTACAATAAACAACACAACAGAGCAACTGAACAGAGCATACATACGCAGTTGTGAAAGTATTCTTTGCATAGTCAACAAACAAGGCCTTCCCATCCACCTCCAATGGATCGTCCTGGTCAAGCAACTGTTGCATGATCTTCAAATAAAACAAGGAAGTCATCAAACTATCAATCATTGCATCATCTTCATCACCATTAACATCATCACTGAAAGCATCAGCAGCAGCAGCAGCAGCAGTAGCAACAGATACTCCTATCCCAACACACACAACCGTTGACTAACTAACCTGTTTACTTTCCTTGACGGATCCAAACTCAACAAAGGCATATCCATTACTAACTCCAGTCATGGGATCCCTCATAACTCGACAGTTGACGATCTTAGCACTAACAAACTGTGTCATAGCCGTCTGGATGGATTCCTCAGTTGTCAAGCCATCCAAACCACGTAAGATCAGAGCTGCCAAGTTGGTAAAATTGATGGGTTGAAATAAATAAATGAAAATTAATACTAACAGCAGAAACAAAATATTTTTATCATAATTTTTACATTGACATTTCATTAAAATTAAATATTTAAAAAATAATTAGAAAGAATTAACACCAACTGTTGCATGCATTGCTGCCAATCTGGTCACTACCATCAGAGCTCGAGCACCCAGCAGAACTCATCATCATCCTTTTCGACGTGTCTATATTTGTTAAGCAGATGTCAGATTATAGGTTAATCATAATCACTATCACCACTTGGTTATCTATCATGAACAATATGGCTGTTCTTATCACCACCGTGTACGATCTTTTCTGGGCATACCTCTTTGTAATAACTCATTGTGTCTTTCCATAGATGAATGATGCGGTCAAGAGAGGTTTTTTCAAATATTGCAATGTTTTCCACAGTCACAACTTTACATTTGATGTCGATCCAGTTTTTGGTGATTTACAAACAATAACCAAGAAAGTAGACGAATCATCAATTAAGCAAAAAAAAATACTACTAGTTCGTAATCATACATTATTCACAAAGATGCATTTCAGTTAACAACAATTTCAGTCAGCTGAAACCAGCTTCTCACACAGTGAATTAAAACAATTTCAACTATTACAGTCTTTAACAATTATATACATGAACTCTATCACAAAATTAGTTGTAAAGTCTTTCATTAAACAGTTCTCTAGAAAAAACACCATTGGAAATTATATATTTAAAAGTTATTTCAATCTAATTGATCATGTTTACATACATATAAAATTAAGTCAAAATTTTCGTGCATACAGTCAGAATAAATTTCTTGAATATGCTGGCCATTGCAGCACATTTATAAATTTTTGTCACTAAATACATATAACAAACATAAAGTTGAAAATAACAATTATTTACATAGCTATCATGAGACTCTTATCATCAACTAGTAATTATTATAAGTCACTAACAGCATACTACACATCTTCGATACTATAAATAACGACATCGTAAACATCATCAGAGCAAGCAAGCACCATGCCGAAAATCATTCATTACCTTCTCTAAAGTGGCTACATCTTCTGCAGAATGTCCTTCTTTGAAAGTTCTTACAGCTGCACTGTTTAATTACAAATTCCTTAAATTTATAATAAACTGTTTCCTCAAAATTCTCCTGCTACTGATCATGCAACTCGTCATTTGGATTGCACACAAATTATATTGTGTGCCAACAAATTGCTTATTAGGAAACTATGATTTCAATTGGTTGTGCAGATAGCAAACCATTCCAGTTGTCTCCATCATCCTCATCACCATCAACAACTTTTACTTGTTCCCAAGATCAAATGAAGGAATGGTGGTAATAAATTTTTCTTTGAGCAATTTTGGCAGTTCAATTTCATATGAAAGCCACAAAGTAAACAGAGTATGAAATGAGAGCTGAGAGTTTTTTAAACGAAACAAATTGATGCACTTCAAGTTTCCTGACTACTAGTGATGCTGACATGACTACAACTGACCTTATTACAGACCCAGTCGGACATTGAGTCGATGGTGTCACTGCCAGTAAGGTTGTTGATGTTTCCTCGCCTAGTTGTACTGTAGTACATGTAGAGAGTTGAGTTGTCTTCAGCCTTTAATTCGCCCTGTTGCGATTCAGATCGGCAGAAATATTAAACATAATGTCAAAAACTTTTATGTTATAAGCTATATGTTATTAAAAGTTCTATGCTAAATGTGATTAAATAAAGCTCACAGACCTGATTTAGTTCCATCCAATATTGTGCTTCTGGAATAGAAAAGAACTCAACAAAACAGTACCTCAATGACTGGCCTGTAAATATTAAATATATAAAAAAGTAAATATATAAAAATGTTAACCAAACAAAAACTAAAACCATCTTGAATACTTTTAGATATTACAGTTAGAAAAATGAGAAAAATAAATTCTGGGCACCTGTTTCTCTCGACCTCATCAGTCTAACTTCCCTGACAGACGTTCCATGTCTGTTGAATATATTTCTTACCTGTTTTTCAGTTTTAATTCAATTTTTTATAAACAAATTTTGAAAATATAACTTTAAAATATCTAAAAAGCTGAAAAAGTTAAATAATTTTTATCCTTTAACAAAAATTAATATCTTATACAAGCAAATGAGATCACAAAACTGACATCTTGCTCAGTGGAATTGAGTGGCAAGTTTCTGATCAGGATGACATTATTTGGTATTCCATCATCCCACTTTCCTTTCATTATACCTCGTTGGCCATCGTACTTGTCATACTATCAGATTGGTCACAAATTTACTCAACAAAAACAAAGAAATAAAATAATTTCAAAACACTAAACTTCTACAACAGACACAATAACATTTATTAGAACATAATCAAACGATGAAAGAAGTTGTGGATAAAAATTTTAAGCACAAACATTTCTGTAGCCAGGTGGTGACTCCTCCCAATATCTTCCACTATCATTTGAGTCACTTTCATCATCATAATATCCTCGAGACTTTCTAGAAGATCTATGTCTAAAATCACCATATAACTTTCAATGGAATATTTAGAACTAAAAAATTGAAAACACAAAGTATCAATCACTTTTCTTTTTATAAAAAACTTTATTTCAATAGTTTTTTAATTTTAAAAATCTTGCGACCTGCTAATATAAAGTTTGATTAGATGTAATGATGAAAAATATACACCTGAATTTAAAAACCAATTTCAATTCAATAATATATAAATAATATATAAATATAATATAATTATAATTAATAATAATTAGTAAACACCTGTTTCTACTGGCAGAGCGGGATTGGCTTCGCGAACGGGATCTGTTTCTTGACCTTGACCTGGATCTCCTTCTCGACCTCTTCTTATCTCTCGACCTCTCTTTCTTTTCCCTCCGTCTCTCCTTTGAACGGTCCCTCGACCTCGATCGCGATCGAGACCGCTCCCTATCCCTTCGAGAATTCTTGGACCCGGCTGCCATGTATAACAATTGCTCAGGAGCCGTCATATCACCACACTCCTCGTAATAGTAATGATCCGACATCTCGTCACTGAAATTTATTTAACAAAATGTGTCATGATATACTTTGACATACCAATCTGGCACTTTCCATATCGGAACGCTGAGCTAAATAAAAATTACAGTTACAAAAATAGAACAAAGTATGTATCATAATTCTAACACAACAATCCAATGATTCAAAATTCACCGTAAGTATCGTATGAATTTAGGGCAAAAATAACAAATCCTCTACTCTCTACTTTAATGGCGGCCTGGTACGGACCACAAATAACATAGAATTACTTCCGAAGACTCTAAATAGCAGTATGACTTCACAAACCAATAATTAATAACGTAACCTAGCAAGAGTTATAAAAATGTTAGATAAAAATGTAATAATAATAATTATCCAACCAGTTCGTATACTTACACATACTTACACCCAGATTTTCAACATATTTTGAGGCCTCACAGAGGATATTAAAACTTTTTTCCAACATATGTGAATTGTTATTTCTCCAGTTAACGAGATTACTCTAAGTATATGGATATATTCTAAATATATGGATGTATACTAGTATACCACATGTATACCACATGTATACCAGAGCTTTAACAACGGGAACGGGGTACACAAAAATTGATGACTACCTATACCTATTACAACATACAGTGTTGAGTAAAATCATAAGTTTTTTATTTCAATTAAAAATTATACTGCTATAAATTATCTCAAAATTAAAATCATAGTTTATACTTAATGTAAAATGATTTCAATTACGTTTCTTTACGTATTTTTGCATCATACGCAAACCTACACACACACGCGCGCGCAAACAAAAGATTTTCTTGGTTTTTAAAATACTGGAAATAATTGTAATAAAATTGATAATAAACAAAGGTGATCATAAAAATGCTAGTAACAGTGTAACAATACTTGTTCAAAGAGTTCGCATACTTACTACTTACACCAACTTACATTACTGTTCCTTATGCTTCCATTCACACGCACATGCATAAGCACATACATGATGATCGTGATCTATGGATATATCCATCCATGCCGTGACCTCACAGCATATCACAGCAAGGAACCGACCTTATTTAAAAAACTTTTTAATTTCATCTCATTGCGACATCGATGACGATGATTATGACCTAACCGTAAAATACATGAAAAAAATTTTAAACTACAAAAAACATGGCATTTCTATTATAAAAAAATTGAACTTTGTGGTTAAGACAAATGTTTCTATAGTTACTCAAAAACAACAAAACTCCTGAAAAATAATCTTCTACGATTGAAGGTTGTAAAGTGACATTCTCATGTGATAATATGAAGCACGTAAGTAAAGGTAAATACCCTTATAATTAAATTCGTTAAGTAATTAAATTGTTCAATTGACAGCAACTCATAACATTAATTTAGTTAATTAATAATATTTATTAATTTTAATAATATAATTTGTCAATTTAACAATTTTCTTTCAGGATGGTATAGAAAAATCGGAATGTAACATTCATTTTTTGCATATAAATTCAGTTACTCGGTGTTAGAAATACTTTCTTGGTAAATGAATTGTCTTCAAATTTGATGTTTGCAAGGACTTAGAACATTTTCCAACATCTCAAATCAAACTAATAATGGCAGGCAAAGGAAAGGTTAATAGAAATTGATTATTAAATTGTATTATCTGGTTGCGATGTTAAAATTTTAAACTTATTTTTCATTTACACACCTGAACTACTTGACTTTAGGCCAAAAAGAAGGATGGAAAATCGAAAAAAGGAAAAGGTCGGAATAAAAGCACCCAAGATGTTGGTAGGCCGAATATGTTCAGTGAGTCAGCCATGGAAAACCTCTACTACATCACCCACAACGTTCAGGATGTGCTGGAGATCAGGGGCTTTAAACATCCAACATTGAAGGTGAAGAAGAAGAAGAAAAAGAAATGAAAATAAAACTTGGCTGATTTTCATTCTAGTGCCAATTTTATGTTTATCTATTCGCCAATTGCAATTAAATATTTTAAATATCCGACGTTTTACATCCGAACATTATTATTTTCCAATTCTTTTTTATCAACGATACTTTCATAACAAGTTACTACAACACGATGTGTTCTCATGATGACAATGCCGTTGATGAACTAACTCCAATTGGTAGCAGGACTTCCATGTATTGCTCAGTTTTATGTCATACATAGCTCTTATATAATGCTATCTATTGTTATAATCATATCAATTTTTAATTACAAACTCTGAAACCGTTGTCGACTTTTTTAGTATCTTTAAACCAAGATTCGCGAAATTGAGCTATAGTACTTGATCATAAACGCTACTTGGGACAGGAAGAGGAAGAGTTTGAGTTATTACAGTGTATTTTAGTTCACTGGGATACACTTCGTTTGTCAATTAATCATTCTTTTTTGAGTTTCTTATGTAAATTTAAATCGTAATAAATTTGTGACATCAAAGCCTGTTTATGCTGCCAGTTAAGTTAACAATGGAAAGTTAGCAATGATAGGGCAATTTCGATAATCTAGTACTTTCCATATACTTAGGTCCATCCATTTCCATATAGGCCAGAATTTATCATGAACCACTCCATAACTTCGATCACATACGTGAAGAATGTATATCGATAATATTTTCTGACAAACCGACAAATGAAACGCATGTCTACAAATAAGTAAAACAATTATTGTTATAAAACGAGTTTGACTGAATTGTAACAAAATGAATAGATAAATATATTAAATATATATGAATATAGTTCCGTGACCCAAAGTGGAGATAGAATATTTCAAGCATTTCCCTATAAGATGAATAAAAATAAACCCACACACACACACACACACACACACACACACACAAACACACACACAAACACACACACACACACACACACACACACACACACACATGTATCAACAACAATGAACTCAGTGCATGCGAACAGAGATCGGCCTACAAAATGAACCTTTCAAATTCTCTATACAATGCAAACACATGTACAGAAATATATGAGGCATATATTGAATATTTAAGGTAGTGAATATACAATATATATATGCGTATATATATATGTATATATATATATATATTTTTATACTGTGTGTAATTTGCCTTAGTCTGAACCGGTTGTTTTAGTGATAGGTTACTGTTATTTAGATAAGACACATATGCTATTTAAACGTTATTAAAAATTCTATATAGTTTGATTGTATAGATCACATTGGTATTACATTTTACTTAATACTTGAAATATTTACTTAAATATACACTATATTTGAAAATTTACTTAATTTAGTATCCATTGTATATTGTATGATCATTTTGTTGTCATAAATAACTGAACCGCCTTTGTTTATTTTTTAAGAATTATCCATAGTTGATGTTAATTTATGTTCAGTTAATTTAATTGGTTAAGGTTAATCGATTGTTATTTAATAATTAATAGGTTGATTGTCGTTCATTGATTGTTAATTAGGTTGATTGATTGTTAATTGATTGACCATGTTTGTCCCAAAAAATATCTACCTATCGCTTCTGAAAAACAACAACGGCAGCAGCAGCAGTAGTAGAGGCAGTAAAAACGTGAATAAATTACTAAAGTTAGCTGGCCAGACGTCAATTTTATTATTCATTTTTTTCGTATTATAATAAATAAATAAATGTTATCTTATTACTATTTTACTAATACTAAATTATTAAAATCACATTAATATACATACACAAACACAATTTTTTTTAATTTATTCATTTTTTACATGTTAGTTATATTAAACAACTATTATTTACATGATTTTAAAAATTCCATCCACAAGGGTCTTATGTGCTTCTGACAAAAATCTACCAAAACATGCATCCACAGCAGCTAAATTCAAACCAACGTCATCATCAACGTCATCAACTACGTCATCATCATCGTCGTCGTCATCGTCATCTAAAGAATCATCATCATCATCGTTTAAACCAGCCCAGGAATCAAACTCATTTGCCATGAATATATTTAGGGGTGTCATAAAGCACCAGGATGTCTTTCCATATAAGGATGGTGTGTCTTGTTGTTGTGTTATTGTTGTGTTGTTGTTGTTGTTAAGTTATTAGTAGCAGATTCTTGTCAATTTTTTGCAATTTAACTTTTGTTTTTGTTGTTGGTTTGTCGTTTATTTGATAGTTTAAAAAGTATTATAAACAAAGATTTTATGAGAACAATTTTTAGAATTTCTAATTAAATGTTCATCATCACATCTTGGTCATCATCGTCTTCGTCATCTTCATCATCATCGTTAACATCATTATAATAATAATTCATCACATTCGTTGTCAACAGTTTTAAATGAAGAACAGAGGGAGAATGTACTTGCAATGATTGATCCAGTTGAAACATTTTTTAAGGTAATTAAATGAATGAATGAATGAACGAACGAACGAACGAATAAACGAATGAACGAATGAATGAACAGATGATGGAATAAGTAAGTGGAAGAATTAATGAATGAACGATTGAACAAATGAATAAATTGTTGAATAAATTAGAGTCAGCGTAATGAGTCATTTCTTTAAATTGTATCACTAATGAACGGATAAACGTAAAATTTGCTAAGGAGCACAACGACCCAGCGAGGAATGATGAAGATGGTGGTGTGAATGCAGACACCATGTCCAAATTGAAAGAGTTGGGAGCGTTTGGTGTGCAAGCTTCTGATAAATATGGTCTGTGACACATTTTGTTAAAAATTTAAGTATTATCAATCTTAAAGAACGATTGTATTCTGGAGCTTCTTTGCGTTCCTCACAGCCGCAAAGATAGTGATCAAGAAAAGGATAAAAAAAACTAAATTTCGATAAAATTAAACAAATGACGTCAACACGTGGGACTAATTCGTTCTGTTGATGACGAAACATCAAAACAGGGGGATTAAACTTGAACAACACGCAGTACGGAAGGATAGGGACCATCATCGGGGCTAACGATCTAGGTATCTCCGTCATGCTGGGTGCCCATCAGGTGACTTGCAAGTGTGTTCCGTTGTTTGTCTGTATGTGTGTGTGTGTGTGTGTGTGTGTGTGTGTGTGTGTGTGTGTGTGTGTGTGCGTGTTTATGTATGTACCTGTGTTTGTAAGTGTATAAGTATGTGTAAGCCTGGATGTGTTGCAACATAATTTGCTTGGATTTAACTTTACGTATTTGTACACTGATCAAACTGAAGATCATTTTAACACTACGTTTGTTTCCTCACACTTATAAGTCTATCGGTTACAAAGGAATCTCACTGTTTGGCACCGAGGCTCAGAAACAAAAGTACATTCCTTCTTTGGTCACTGGAGAAAAGATGGCGGCATTTTGCCTAACTGAATCCGGAAGTGGATCTGACGCCGGGGTACGTTTTAATTGCAAAATAAACTTCATCCACAGACATCTTTTTATAATTTGCAACAGGCATGTGATAATTTTTCAGTTCGACACTGTCAGCCTTCAACTATCGACTGAGCTAATCCGTTGTTTAAATTTTTAATAAGAAATTCTTTTTAATTCTTTTAAAGTCCATACAAACAAGAGCAGTTCTGTCACCAGATGGCAAGCATTACATTCTGAATGGAAATAAAATTTGGATCAGCAATGGAGGAATGGCTGAAGTGTTTACTGTTTTCGCCAAGGTTTTGAACTTTAATCTTTCTCTTTCTCTATTTTCTCACTCTCTCTTATCTTTTCTACAATTAAACATAATAAATGAAAATACTTGATATTTAAAATTTCTAGACCCCCGTAACCGAGCCTGGAACGGGACTGACCAAGGACAAGATGTCCGTCTTCATCGTCGAACGAGGTTTCGGGGGTGTGACCAGGTTCATTTTGTTTTGCATGAACAACTTTTTTACCTTTTTCACGTGACACGCGCCATTACACGACACACACCACAAAACGAAACACGTCAGATAAATACACACGTCATAACGCAGTTTTTTTTTTGGTAAGCTATACATGTTTATAACCGCGTAAAACATTACACACCAAGTAAAATGACACGCACACACCTTAAAACGACACACACCTTAAAACGACTCATACCATAAAACCACACACGCCTTATCACACACCCACAAGTGGTCCACCAGAGAAAAAGATGGGCATAAAAGCCTCAAATACAACTGAAGTTCACTTTGACGATGTGCATGTACCGAAAGAGAATTTACTGGGAGGTAGTTTTGCTGTTTTTGAACGTTTGCATATTGGCCACAAACAACCCACACGACATTACACATACATCCCGCACCTTAAAACATTATCACATATACGACCTTCACCTTGAAACAACATCACATCTCATTAACATACGACATTCACCTTAATACATCATCACATCTCATTAACATACGACCTCCCCCTCAATACATCTCATTAACATACGACCTCCAACTCAATACATCATCACATCTCATTAACATACGACCTCCAACTCAATATATCATTACATCTCATTAACATACGACCTTCACCTCAGAACCAGGCGAAGGTTTCAAGATGGCCATGACGATCCTGAACAGTGGAAGATTTATAATGTCGGCCCTCCTCTCAGGTACGATGAAGGCCTGCATTGAAAAGGCTGTGGAGCACGCGAGCAACAGGGCCCAGTTTGGCAAAAAGTTGGAATCCTTCGGCACCATTCAGGAAAAAATCGCTCGGATGACAATGGCCCATTATATTACTGAGGTGCTTGGATGGTCTTCGTAATTTGGCAGTTGTACTAATGAAATTACTTATGAAAGTAAATTATAGTGAAATGTTATAAATATTAATAATTAAATATAATGTTCATTCATTCATTCATTCATTCATGCCAGAGTATGGCTTACACGGTAGCAGGCAAAATGGACCAAGGGGCGTCGGACTATCACGTCGAAGCCGCAATCAGCAAAATATTCGGATCAGTCAGTCCATCATCATTCATTCATTTTTATTGAATATTATTTACATTTTATTTAATTATGACGTTTTATTATTTATATTTTATTATAATATTTTTATGTTAAATTTATTTCAAATTCTGATATTTAATTTTTTTCACTTTTGATTTAGGAGTCAGCCTGGTTTGTTGCTGATGAAGCCATTCAAATTCTGGGCGGAAATGGATATATGAAGGTGTTTGCTCTATCACTCAATCATTCATTTATTCATTCAATCGTTCATTCATTCATTCATTCATTCAATCATCAACAACAACACCAATAAACAGGAAGTTGGTTTAGAAAGAGTTCTGAGGGACATTAGAATTTTCAGAATCTTCGAAGGAACGAATGACATTCTGAGGTTGCTAGTGGCTTTAACTGGAATTCAAGTCTGCGTTTGTTTGTTTGCTTGTTTGTTCGTTTATTTGTTTGTTCGTTTATTCGTTTGTTTGTTTATCTTTTTGTTTGTTCGTCTATCTCTTTGTTTATTTTTCAATAAATAGTTTACATTTTCTGTTAAATATTATTGCTTGCATTCACGCGTATAGGAATCTGCATTGTGTATATAATGTTATTATATTGTTGGCGTTATAATCTGGTATTTTTATCACAAACAAAAGATTCTCTGTACAAAAATTTTACTGTAGTCGAGAAAGTTATGGCATTTAGATTTAAAAATGTTAATTATCGTTCACAGTACGCTGGCAGTCATTTGAAGGAGCTGCAAAGTGCTTTTAAGAACCCTACCGCGAATTTGGGACTGCTGATTGGGGAGGGTTCTAAGAGGGCAATGAGGTCAGTCTTTATTGTTATTTTTGTTGTTTTGTTGTTATTTTTTCACTTTTTTCATAAACGCTATCATCCTTGTCTTTGAATGTCTTTCAATGAACTCGTATTTCATTTTATGCTGTTTAGTTGGGGTTGTTTATGTAAGATATAATTTCTTCTTTTTCGATGTGTATTTCTACTATTGGTATGTCCTCTACTGTAATATTTTAACGTTTATAGTAATGTTATCAATTGGTTTGTCATGTTTTAGATTCGTTGGAATGTCGACTACAGAATCATTGGCCAAACAAGTTCATCCTAATTTGGTAGAGTCTGCTAATTTGGTAGGTAATGTTTGAATGTTTGAACAATAAATCAATCAATTAACCAATCAATCAATCTACATTTATAATCACACACACACACAGGTTACGTCATGCATTGAAAATTTCGGCATAGCAGTTGAAAGCCTTCTCTTTAAATACGGCAAAAATGTTGTCGGTTAGTAATCAATTTATCAATAAATCAATTAATTAATCAATTAATCAATCAATTAATCGATCGATTAATTAGCTAGCTAATCAGGTAACAAACCAGTCAACGATTGAATTAATAATTTGTTCATAACAACAATTTCAGACGAACAATTCCTATTAAACCGACTTGCCGACTCGGCGATAACGATATTCGCTATGACGGTGGTTCTTTCGAGGGCTACCATGTCATTCCAGAAAAACTTCAACTCAGCCCAACACGAGGAAATTATTGCCCAGACCGTTTGTGTTGAGGTACTTTAAAAAACCAAATGCTCTACAATAATATCAGTCATTATATTAATAATAAATCAATCAACCCGTTCACATTCAAACAACCAACTAATCCGTTCACGCTGAGTCAAGCTAACAAGCACCATAATTATTTACAACTAAAAAACTATCATAGGGCTATCAAAAGGTCAGAGGTTACCTGCGATATCTGAGAAACGACGCTAGGAACAAGAAGAACTTTGAACAGATCAGGCAGATAAGTAAGGATGTTGTTGGCAACGGTGGTCTCATCTACAATAGTCCCCTTGGTTTCTAACGATTGGCAGGGCATCTGACGTGCCTTCTACGATTTCTTTTTATTAAAAACAGAAATGTTGATGAAAACTTGTTGGGAGAATTTGTTGTATTTAAAAAAATGATATGCATAATAAGTTGCACTCGTGCCAAAGAATGATTTTGAATTACAATAAAATATTAAAATTATTTATTACTTTTATTTAATAAATTAAGGATCGACACGTCTCATACTTTTTTTCGTCCACATGAACACGAACTACAAACCAGAAACTAGAAGAGCTTATTACATTGACCAATCTTTACTTTTCGGAAATTGCTAACTAGTTAAAACGAACGGCATTCAATCATTCCATAGTATGCAATTCTGTGAATTTACGGTTCAGGAAAAAAATGCCAAAACTAGTAAAAACAACATGGGTAAACGTGTGATTTTCATAGGATTTTACGTTGTTTTAAGTTGCCAATCTTGGCGCAGATCATATACTTCGACGTCACCCACACACCCCCACAAAAACAAGTTATCTATATTTCCAAATACCATTTTCTTTATCAATTAGCAATATCATTTTGGTTAATTTGTGGCTAAAGAATTAGAAGATTAAATATTAACTACAAACAGTTCTAAATATTTATGCAAGACACATACACGTGTACCTTTTGCAGTTCCAGTTAGTTTAGAAAAAATAACATATCAGAAAAAAAACTAACTACATCCGGTCTTTATCACCAACCCAACTAGTTTTCACAACAATTTTTTCCGTTTTGTTCGTTTGAAAAAAAGAGACGAAGACAGAAACGAGAAGAGCGGAAAACATTATTATCCATCAATGGTAAAATTGTACAAAATAAAAAAAAGCATGTACAACAACTTGTGTATTTGTACATTATATATATATATGTGTGTATGTGCGCGGTACAATATTTGCGGTATAATACAAGGTTTGTGGTAAAATAACAATTGGCAATTAATAATATTAATTGTCACCAATAGTGAATTAAGCGTAATGTGAATCAATAACGTCAGTACGAAAGTAACATTGTGTATAGCATCCGACTGAACTGCAATTTTGTAAACCGAACATTTTTTAATGACATGAAATGTTCAGTAAAACGTGCTCTTGAGATATTTTAAACATTATTTCAATTTTTGTTGAAATCTTCAAGATATATAACTTATATTATTATTTAAGAATTAAATAAAACTGTCTGCCTCAGAGAAGATCGCTATTTTTTAGCACGCCAATCAACAGTAACAAAATCGAGCGACAAACGTCATTGCATCGATAATTCTAGTATTGCTAATTACAAATCGTATGCTTTGAGTGTTTTAAGAAAAGTAGTGTCGTGAAATTATTCGTACAGTTTTCGTTAAAGAAAGCAATTCTTTAAAAATTATATCATCATTCGTCGCTAGACACGGAGTAATAATTAATACAATTATTAAAAACAAACTATTATTATTAAAGAAATAACATTATTATCATATCATCAGTTTAGTCACATTCATGAAGAAGATATATACATAAACACACGTCTTCACATCTATTTACATGTATATATATATATATACAATCGATATATCTACAATCATCATCATCGTAGAATTTAACATCATCACTGAAGCCCAATGATATCTAGTGTCATCATCGTCAACTTCTATCTTTCTTCTTGACCGCTCTCCTGCTTTGATTTTTGTAGATGAGTTCAGCGGCTTTCGCTTTGCCATTTAGGGTCTTCAGCATCATGAACTGCAACTCGTCACAGTGTTCCATGCACTTTCTACATCTCTGCTCATTGGCCTGTCAGATAAGGAAGAAAAACATGAGTGAGTGAGTGAATGAAGAAACCAACTAATCAACCAACCATCAAACCAACCAATCGATCAATCATATAACTGATTGAATGAATAAATAGTTGAAATGATATTAACAAAACAGCAGAAGAAGAAACCACATTTAACCAGTATAAGATCATCGACAGATCTCCAATCTTCAACCCTGCCTTCAAAGTTTGTATTTAATTGGCTGCTGTTGTTGTTGTTGGTGGTGGTTGTGGCGTTGTTATTCACAGTGTCAGAAATGTTGTTGCTGCTTTCTGGCGTTAAGAGACATTTTAACTCATCCAGAAGACTCAATACACTCTCTTCGTCTTTCTTCTGAGAAGTCAAGATAAATAATTTAGTATTCACATCAATCAAAACTCAATAAGATTGGCTCAGGGTAAGAAACATTTTTTAATTGATAAGAAAGATGGAGTCCAATGGATCGAAGGATCAAGGAAGAGCTCCAAACGAATTAAACAGGATTACTGATTGATAATTAGAAATCAACAAAGTATCTGACAATATCAAAGCAGTCAAAATGATAAAATAAGCAATAAGATATCAAATCATAGTCGACAAAATTAACACCATCTATCATTTTCATCCCAAACATTACCAGTACAATCACTTGAAGGTTAAAGGTCAAACGTACCAATTCGTCAAAGTGCCCAGACACGAGATGCAGTTTGTAGCCACAGATCTTGTGCATGACGCCGCGCTGGTTGGCCACATCATTCAGCGACGGCTTCCTATCGTCTGCCAGTCGAAAATTATTAATTTAACGATATTTTATTTATTTATTTATTTATTTAATGATTACAAATCGCTCTTCATTATTTATCGGTAGTATCAACAATAAAAGCACAGTGAATGTAAATAAACGTGAAACAACGTATCAGACACGTTACATGTGATAGACGGGGGATTCCATAGCAATCGAATCTGGTCACTGGAATAACAGCGCCAGGCACTTTACCGCTACGCCATCGCATCCGTGATATATTTAAAGTGTAATAATAACATTTTGTAATATTTGCGTATTACAGTGTTACAAAGTAACGATGTATAAATTCTCATCAAAGAAAAAACATATGGTAAGCTAAATGAGGACTAAAACACACAAAATGAAAAGTCAAATAGTTAGAAGTTGACATGCATGACGAAAATCTCAAGAATGTTTGTTACAGAAACAAGTGAAAAGAACAAAATAATTACTGAAATTACTAAAAATAATAATTAACGAATAATTAAAACAATATAACACACAAACTAACAAAATAACCAATAATTTTACTAAGAAAAAAAAAGTTGTGTAACCTTTAATTTTGATGTCGTTGTACGAGATGAAATGGTTGTTCCTTGGCTTCCAGGTACACTGGTACTGATTTGATAGACTCACCTTCAGTTACATAACACCAACAAACAATTATTCATTTATTTATCAATAAATAATTAAATAAACACATCTTTTAAAACTCCAAAGATAACAAATACAGCAAAGATAACAAATAATCAAGGTAATAATAATTGATTGAAATTAATTATAACTCGACCATGCCAACGGTTATAACATTTTATTGTATATAATTGGTCGGTATGTGCATGTATCAAAACTTTGAATACAATGTGATATCTGCAACTAGAAGACTCACCATGCATAAGCAGACTGTAGCAATGCAAGGCAACTACTACTACTACATAATGGAATTTTAAAGTGCATCATTTCTTTAACAACGGAAATTTTGGATAATAATGCCGGAGTAATTTTCTACCACAAAGATTACTTTAAATTTGAAGATACCGAAATCTTTAACTATCAATAACACCAAGTCGCTGATCAACAGTCAGCATATGATTAACTAAATTCAAAAACAAATAAATCACTGTATTATTCATCTATCTAATAATCATTCCTTCCTTCATTCATTCACCTCTTCTTTCATTCATTCACAAACTGACCTTTGACCTAATTTTGTCTTTCGTCCATCTGTAACCTTCTGCATCGACAATTGCCTCCATCGCCATATCTATTAAAGATGATTAAAAGTGATTAACATTGATCTAATTAAAAGTCTCAATTAAAATCATCATCTTAACAATGACAAACACGATCATCCTCATCATCATTACCATTACCCAAAAACCCAACAGCATCATCATCATAATCATCATCATCATTACCATTATCTTAACCACAAACGCCATCATTATCAGCAACACCACCATCATCATCATCGCCATCTTAATCACAATCACCACCATTATTTATGACTGACCTCTTCGACGACCAGCATTCGCGTTGTTGATATAATCAGCTATCATCATCTCGTTACAACGGTCTCCAGAGTTTTCCTTTATAGAGTCATCATTGTTATCCAAGTGAGTGCTATCATGGTAATGATGTTGTTGCTGCTGCTGCAGCTGATGATGATAGTTCTGTTGCTGTTGATGTTGTTGGTGATGATGAGAAGGTTGATGATGATTTTTTGACGTCATCATCGTAGAAGGGAGTTCATTACAATCAGCGACGTCACCGTCATCATTTTCTCCCTCCGATGACAAACCCTCCAGGGCCATGGTCTCCTGGCATTGTAACCTGATAAATGGTCACGATTGCATTGCATTACATAGCTGTATATTTTCTGGTAGTAGTTGATGATCAATCACTCAATTAACCAACTGACCAACTGACCAATCAATCAATCAATCAATCAATCAATCAATCAATCAATCAATCAATCAATCAATCAATCAATCAATCAATCACTGATTAGGTCGATGGAGGTGAATGGGTAAAAATGAAGATAACAGTAGATCAGGTTGATGAAAAATAAAACACTATTGCAAAGGCATTATCAAATATTACTAATACTACTATTACTACTACAGCACCATGATAAATAGTGAAACAGTACTACTACTACTACAATTACTACTTGAAAAATACAGTGCCAGCAAAAATATATTTCAGATAACTATGAAATTATTTTTGCAACAAGCTAAGATAATACTCTATTTTATAGAAAAAAAAGGTTTTACTAATCAACCAAACTGACTCTTCAGTTAGGAAATTAGGTGGCTGATGCTGTTGCTGCTGCTGTTGTTTATGAGAGAATGTTTGTTTACGAGGTTTTTTTCTTGGGTTCACTTTTAATCCCTCGTCTTGCAACCTGTTTCCTGTTATATTAATGAAAGAATGGATGAAGGAGTGAATGAAGGAATAAATGAAGGAATGAATGAAGGAATAAATGAAGGAATGAATGAAGAAATGAGGTGATGAACGAACGAATGTGATTTAAACGAAAGATAATGTCATTATGAAAATTAGACATTACAAAAAAATTCAAATCGGGAAAGATTACACCCATTTACCATCTCTATTCTGACTGTCATTATACGAATCTCCGACTTTTGTGCCCTTGTTGCCAACTGACACAACGTTCACTTTACTAGATTTGACCTTGTTTCTATCCAATGAGGTTCCGTGGCCCAATTTCTGAGTGCCGTCATTGGTTGGCGTGATGTCAAATGATTGGCCAACGTCAAAAGAAGCCTCTCTGATTGGTTGATATTATATTATTGAAAAATATTGAAGGATATTATTTTAAGCTGAAAAAGATGATCTCAAATTAAAAAATTGGCATTTTAAGTTAAAAAAAACAATCATTTAAAATTCTAAAAAATTATGATTTTGAAGTAAAAAAAATTATTCACGAAATTTTAGGAGGATTAGCAGGCATAGCAAATTGATAGAGACCACTATTACTAGCATTATTGTTATTAATGTTACCAGCACTATTACTGTTGTTGTGTGATGTAACACCAACACCCAGCTGTCTAACAACAATATCAGCAACAGTTGTTGTAAAGTGTTGTACGTTGCGTATTTGTTGTTGCTGCTGCATGTGGCTTAGAGGCAATGATGATGACGACGACGACGTTGTAGACGACGTCATGTTAATGTTATGAATACTACCGGTGCTAGACGACGCGTGCGCCGACAACGACGAAAAGAGATTCTTCTTACTACTGTTCAGAGAGCTGTTACAGTGTTGTTGTTGTAATAACAAATGTAAGTTCATCACCCAGTGCCCAATGTATTATCACATCATTGTAAGTTATCATCATTTTAAGTTATCATCAGTGTTAATTATCATCAATGTTAATCATCATCAATGCTCTAATCATCAGCATCATTATCTACATTATAACAACTGTCTCTATCATTATTTACCAAACATTCATTTACAAATTAATTCCTTACTACCCACTGACTAGTTATTAATTATTTTACACATTATCAACCATCTTCATCACTCATCATCGTCTTCTTCTTCTTCTTCTTCATCATCGTCACAGTAAATACGATAAACCTCATCACTACAACAACCATAAAACAACAACAACAACAATAATAATAATAAAATAATAATAATAAATACTAACGGCTCGTGAGTCCTCTTCCTTAGTATCGGAGGTCGGGGCGATTGATTTTGTTGCTTGCTCGGTGTACTGCTACTGGCATTAGTACTAACATTAGTTTCGTTGTTCACTCTGCTATCATTGATGCTGTTGTTGTTGTAGTTGTTGTAGTTGCTGCTATTGCTGCTGACGTTGCTAGACACACATGATGACGTCGGCTGCAGAAGGTTGACTTGAGAAAATAATGATGATGATGATTTGAAAATTAATGAGGCTAATGATAACGATGCTGATGATAACGGTGAAGATAATGGCGTTTGGAAAGAGGAAGGAGTTGATAAAGATGATGACGGAAGTTGAGGTAACAGCTGCTGACTCTGATGTTGTTGCATGTCCTTCTGCTGAGCTAAATCACCGGCACCTAATTTTAGAAATTCAATAACTGTAAATAACAATACCAACAACCACTTCAATAACAGTTTTTATAATCGATCAAAAATGAATACAAGAAAAAAAATATAACACTAACACTCAGCATTAGCAGCTATAAACGTATACCCGTGTTGGTTGCTAGTCGAGTCCAGTGCATAGTATAGCGACGCTGTCTTGTTACTAATATTAAGGTTGTTGGTGCTGTTGTTGTTAAGTGTATTGTTTACTGTCTGTTGCTGTTGTTGTTGCAAAGAGTACGTATTCTGGTTAAGAGTTAAAGAAGGTGACGAGAGTGATGATGGCAAAGACGATGACGGCGATGGAAAAGTGGTTATGGTGGTACTTGTAGTAGCAGCAAGAGCAGAAGCAGCAGCAGCAGCAATAGAAATGCTTGCCAGGTTGCCTGTTTATAAAAAGTTTAAATAGGTTTTAAAAGAAATCATACCAAGTCGGTAAATTTATTACACCAACCAACTCATCTCTATAACCTAAACCAGACAACGTATTTATTACAAAATACAAATTATAAAAAGACAAAAAATTTAAACAACTGTTTATAAATGCAAAACAAAGCAGAACAATCAAATACAAAAGTCACCAGAAATGATTGAAGAAGGCTTGCTTGCGCCAGCAGCCAATGGAGGGATCATGATGGTCTGAACAGAATGCGTGGTTTGCGGCACTAGGAACCTGTTAGCATCACATGTGGATATAGTTGTTGCGTAGCGTATGTTTGTAAGGTGTGTCATGCGTGTACACACGTGTATGTACAATAAACGTTATGTTATGTATAATGCGTGTGTGGGTGTGAGTGTGTGTTGTGTGTGTGTATGTGATTAAATGATTGAGTTATTAATGTGAATACTAATGAGTTAATAATACTAAGTCAGTTAGATGGATGACCAATAACATTCAAGACTTCCCAAAGCTGTATCCACACAACTGTACATATTAGTATACAGATTCATAAACATGCATATACATAAATACCTTGCACTAATAGATGTACTAATAGATACACTAACACAGAAACACACAACATACACACACACACAGACACGCACGCACACACACACGCACACACACACAAAAAAGAATGAGCACTAGCTTGTCTTGCAGCACAGAGGATCCTGATAAATTACTAGCTTGAATGATGTTGTAATTTGCACCGAGTAACATTGTGTTGGCAGACTGCAAGGGAACCAAGTTACTCTGGTTGCTACTATTGGCCATGTTTCTCAGCTGTTGTTGTATGGCAGGTGTTGCAAGAAGTTGCTGTTGTTGATGCAGTTGGATGAATTGTGGAGATGGTAACTGCATGTGAGTTTGCGGTTGCTGTTGTTGCTGGTGTTGTGGCAACTGTTGTTGTTGCAACTGATGAGTTGCTGCTGACACGGTTGGAACTATTTGAAGTTGCTGTGTGTTAATCTTTGTTGCTGTAAGCAAAATAAATAATGTTTAAACATTTCAGGTGTCAAGTGAAGTGACAACCACAATTCAACATACATAAACACAAACAACCAAACAACAACCAACCAACAACAACCAACCATTGATAGCAGTAACATTAGTGGACTGAGTCATGTAGGATGATGATGATGATGATGATGAAGACGAAGATGAAGACTGGATGCCTGCAAGCTGTGGAGCACTGTTTGGCAGAGAATACACTGTCACAACTGGATAGCAAATATTTCATTGGTGTTTATTGATTAGTCAGCTAGCAGTTGACGTATATAAAGATTAAAAACGCATCTAAATTTAATGAATCTAGTCTCATATTTTATAATGAGCACTCCTAAAATTTATTTTTAAAAAAAGTATCATTTTTTGGACTGTGTTTGTGACATGTGTATGATGAACATCAGCAAATGCAAAATGTACGGTAAAATGTTTATGTAAGCACAGGAAAATGTAAAAGACATTAAATAAGATTGAAGACTAACTTGGTTTTAAGACATTATTGGGTGCAATGGTGAAAGCAGAAAAATGTGAAGTAGGGATGATGGCAGCTGCACAGCTTGCCGCAACTGCTGCTACCGCTGGTGTCGCTGTAGCAGCTGTGAGTGAAAATAAAGCAGCTGGTGATGAAACGCCCATCACTATCGTTGCTGATGATGACGCTGACGATGATAGGGAGGTGGAGGATGTTGGCGACAACAATGATGGAGGTGCTGGAACGACGGTTGAGATGCCTGGCGGAATTTTCACTCTCTTTTGCTTCGATAGATTCAATGGAGAAACTGAGATAGATGTGCGAATGAATGAAAGAATGAGCCAGCAAATGAATGAATAAATAATGAACAAATCTACGAAATAACCAACTAAATGATGACCCCATATCATAATTATTACCACAAAACACACAACAGCCAATCAGAAATATCAAACAAAACTTACTGAATGAATTTGGTTGTATCTGAGTGATGACTGTCGTCTTGGCAATGGCAGCAGATGCCAAAATAACTGACCGACCCATCGTCTGTGTCAGGTTCAACGCCTGTGTTTGCCCTTGAACAAATTTTTCATTCATATTAAAGTATACAGAAAAACTGGATTCTAAACCAAGTTGCATTTCATTGACTCCTATTTGCATTTTACAAATATTTATACATTTATTTATAAAGTATTTAGATTTAATTTTAATATATTTAAAAAATTTAATAATTTAAACGCTTATTTACTGATCAATAATTATTTAGAAATTAAATAGTTGAAACTATGAATACTCATTGGAAACCTTTATTCCCAGAGGATGAAGATGTCATGACAACAGATGTTGACAGATTGATTGGTATGGTGGGTGACAGCATAGTTTTGTTAGCCTGCTGCTGTTGCTGTGGTTGTTGCAGTGGTAGCTGATGAGGTTGTTGCATTTGTTGCAAGAAAGTTCTTTGGGGTTGGTAGATAATGTTAGGAGGAGACTTGATGATGGGTTGTATGCCTATAGATAGAGATATTTGCTGCTGCTGCTGCTGCTGTTGCTGTTGGAGATTGTTAAAGTCCACTAGGTTGCCACTGCGCATGGTATAAATTGCTGAGGCAGAAGTTATAGCAGGTATGATTGTTGTGGTTGTAAGTGAAGATGGCGGTTGTTGAAGTTGTTGTAGTTGTGGTTGCTGCTGCTGGAAAGTGGTCAATGGCTGTCTGTAAAAAAATATGATAAAACAGTGTCATAATGAAATTAATTCAAAATTTTCAATATTTTGCTGTACAGATCTTAAAAAACAAAAAACATGTGATATGTTTCTGAAAGCCAAAAAATTAATGGATATATTTATGAATAAAAACTGACAGCAATCATGTGCAAACTAAACAGAAACAAATCCAAGAATTTCATTAAAAAAAACAATAATCAACAGAAAATTGAAATCTAACTTTAATGTCATGTTAGTGACAGGAAGTCTCTGCTGAACTTGAGTATTGCTTACGGTCTTGTTTCCGCTTGATAGCCACAACCTCTGACTCAAAGGACCGGCTTTAGTCATTTTGAATATTTGATGAATATACAGTTTAAATGTTTAATCACTACATTTCATTGATGAGCTCTTGAAATATTTAAAATGTATTTAACAATGCTATAATAATGCTTTATATTATTGCCATAGTATAAAATTTACTACTTTTAATAAACAAATAGATGAATATTTCATCAAAACTATGGTCTATTTTTTCTGTTCCCAAATAAAATAAATTCTAAACTAACTCAAATTGACGCTAGTGGTGGCTATGGAAATAATTGTAGCAGAAGATTGCAATGACGACGATGACATCACTTGTATTTGTTGCTGCTGCTGCTGGGACTGCTGCTGCTGTAATAATAAGGGCATCTGATTGGCTGCTGATGACAAAGTCAAGACATGAACACCTGGTGACGGTGTTGTTGTTAGAAGTTGTTGTTGCTGCTGTTGCTGCTGCAAGTGAGTTCTGCCCATTGTTATCACGTTACTCTTGGCTTGAAATGGGATATGTAAAGTTCTTTTTAAACCACTATCTCATGAAAAAAACATCTATTTTTGATGTGAACCGAACAAATTCTAAGATGTCATTTGAGATATAATTTACAAATCAACTTCATCTATCTGTAATCATATCACAAAACTCCAATAACACTATGAATACCAATATGAATAACAATATTACATAGCATGACATAACAAGCTATGACATAAAACAATGCTATGGTATATAATATAACATAGTATAACATGAAAAAGAATGAGAAAACACATGCGAAAAGATTACAACTTACAAGTTAGTATGGGCTGTACAGTAATTTTTGTGCTCTCATTGGTTATAATGGAGGGCATGCGATTTCTTATTAATCCTAATCTTCCAAAATTTCCTTGAAACTTTAAATTTCAACAAAAAAATATTTTTTAATAAATCAATATTATTTAAATTGAGAGGTGGGTATAATAATAATAAATCTATCAATATATAATATATACAACTTTACTTAAATTAGACTTAATAGATATATTAATAGTTAATAGTTTTATGAGTATATTATGAAAATTTGAAAAATTTTTGCAGTTTTTGATGAATATATTTTTTCAAATTTAGAACACAAAATATAAATGGGTATCATTACACAGATTTGTTAAAATTGTTGAAATCAGAATAAAACATAAAATTAAATCAGAATATCAAAATAGTTAAAATTTTCTTAAAGAATAAACAAAATAAAAATGCGAATAGAGGAATATTTTTTTTAAAAAACCTGTGACTGATCAAGTGTATAGATAGACTGTCCAGAAGCCAACGCATTGCCGTGATTACTAACTGCTATATTCATGCTGTTGTTTGTTGGTGTAACAACTGCTGTTATCATATTCTGTTGCTGTTGCAGTTGTTGCTGCAATTGTTGTTGCAACTGTTGTTGTTGTAAGGTAGTCATTATATTTCCTTGGTGGACAACAAGATTGGCTGTGTTGTTGGATCGAGATGGTCCAACTACTAAGATATTAGAATTAGTGGAGATTGTGGAATTTGAGTGTATAAGAGATTGTGGGGACAACGATATCGTCTGCACTGCTTGGCCAGCGGTTATTACAACCTTGGCAACAACTGACTGGCCTACTAACAAAAATTTTCGTTTTAAAATGTCATTGTTTTATGAGACGGTGTGAACAAATGTTAGCTACCGTAATACTAATAACGTTGTTAAATTAAATGACATTAATGATTAATCAATCACTTTGAATAAAATAAAAATAAATGATAAATATAAGTAAATTAATAAAAAAATTTGAATAAAACCAGTTTTAAATGAAGTAAATGTCAAAGCACCTTTTGGTACGACGGCCGAATTTCGCTTATTCAACGATCCAAACACGATCTGAAAAATAATTTTTAAAATATTTACAACTGGAATTCACTTTTAAACAAGTCAACTCAACTCACAGAAGCTTTGGAGTTAGTTGGATTGGATATGGATGAAAAATTCAACTGCGGGACGGGTTTAGAAGACTCTTGATCCGAGGAAGGCTCTTGCTGGCCGCTCATACTAACTTCACTAATTTCAGTACATTAATTTCCCAAAAAAGTATTTTTATTACTTTTCAAGACAATCCACATAAAATGATTGAAAAATCCTCACGATGACCACTAAAATTAATCAAACTAACTCAACACAGACACGAACAACCAGCAAAGTAAACCTTCAAATTAGACTTAGGGAATTTAAAGTCCAGATTCATTAAAAATTCTCAAAAACTTCGATCGGACATCAAAATTTTCAATGAAAACTGCAAAACGATATAAAGAACGTTGATTGGCTACAAAACCACAACCAAAGATATAATAAAGTGCATTTAAAATTCCAATATTTTCTAGTGAACGTCAAAATTATTATTGGAGATTTAATGTTATACTCGTAAACGAATTCGACACTTTATGCTTAGAATTCAACTATAATATTTATTTTATATAACTCAATAGCTCAATTTTCATAAATGTTGAACAGCGCGTCACGAAGAATCAAGTGTAACATAAGTATAAAAAAATAACATTTTAAAGTCATTGAGTATTTCTTTAAAAATTCCACCAAATCTCTTCATAATCTTAAATTTTCAAATTTTTTGTATAGATGCTTAGCTGTCAACAGCAATGAGATAAATCTTGCGATCAATTTGCCGAATTCGAAATTCAATAGCACTTATCTTAACAATCATCGATTTATTATCAACCAACCAAAATATAGGCTACGTGAATTCTTTTGTACAATTTAATGTAAATTTGTAAAGTATGCAACATTTTCAAAGGATTGTTTAAGAATATAATTGGATATGGTTGAATTATTCATAGAAATTGATATTTATATATATACATAATTAAGTTGTGTTCTGTTTTATACATTTGCTCTTGCCAATACCCGAACTTAAACTGATATATCGCTCGCTAATTATAATGATGTGTTACGTCATCGCCGCGTGACGTCAATCCGAAAATGTTGATAATGGGAAGAATGAGATAAGGCGTTATCAGTGTATGAACTATCATAGCACGGGTCATTTTGTTCAATTTATATAACGAGGCTATTTCGATTGAATTTTGGATACGGTCAAATAAATTGAATTAGTCATCGACTATGGTCAGTTGCGTCTACTATTTATCACGCTGTGTTGCGGTGTGCTTGCCATGTTGTTGATGTTGTATTAAGTACCATTTAAAACTTCAAAAGCTACTTTTTTGAACTTCTTCATGCAAGATTTGAATTTTAAGTAATATTTATGAGAAAATATGTACAACAATTAGAACAGCTGATTCAGTTTTGCGGTCGCCAGATGTTTGCTCTGTTCTGTCATGTGATTGTTTTATCAATTTCACGTGAAGAAAGGTTTTTCTTGTGTCTGTCATTCCTGTGAAGTTGGGTGGATACTTGTTCGTTGATCAGATCATTTTTCCTATTGCCCTCTTCTCGGACTCGAATAAACTCGTAATACGGTTATTATGAATATCGATATAAACGATTGACAAACGAATATACCGTATTTAAAGCAGTGATCAATTGAGAACTTGCATTCGATGTGTCACGTTTAAAACTGTTATCATACAACTGTAACATGAAAGAAACCGTATGCATGTTCATCTACATGCCTATGAATGAATGAATGAATGAATGAATGAATGAATGAATGAATGAATGAATGAATGAATGAATGAATGAATGAATGAATGAATGAATGAATGAATGAATGAATGAATGAATGAATGAATGAATGAATGAATGAATGAATGAATGAATGAATGAATGAATGAATGAATGAATGAATGAATGAATGAATGAATGAATGAATGAATGAATGAATGAATGAATGGAATGAATGAATGAATGAATGGATGAGTGAATGAACGAACGAATGAATGAACGAGCGAGCGAGAGAACGAATGAATGAAAAATGAATAAAAGAATGAATGAACATGGTTATGATCCGACATCGTGCTCTGTCAAACATAGTGCTGGTTTTACATCAAGCTTTTATTTTACATTAGTATATATCTGGATGAATATAAATAAATAGATGTACACACACACACACACACACACACACATATATATATATATATATATATATATATATATATATATATGTGTGTGTGTGTATATATATATATATATATGTGTGTGTATAAATATATATGTATATATATATATATATAGAGAGAGAGAGAGAGAGGAAGAGAAAGAGAGGCGTGAGAGAGAGAGATAAAGAGTGTGTGTGTGTTTAAATATAGGTATAATTATTTATTGAATTTATAAATAAGGCACACAAGCAATAGATCTATCTTTGTGTGCATTGTTTGAAACAAAGGATAGCCACAGTTATTGCCACAAACTGGTTGGTTTGTTCTGCTTTGCAATAATTTCAAACTATTTTTTGTACTACTGCATTTCTTTTTTAAATTCTTAATTTTTTAATATGAAAATTTCTAAACTATTTACAAATTTTACCCAGAATTGAGATTTCGGTTATTTAGATATTTGAAAGTTTGCCAAATCAGTTGTAAAAGTTGGAGTTGTTAAAGTAATTTAATATAATTTTTATTTCATATATAAATTTGTGAATCGTTTGTGCGTGCGTGCCTGTGTGTGCGTGCATGTGTGAGTGAGTGAGTGAGACGAACAATAACCATGGTGAAGAGTAGTTACGATTCGATTCACATTCCGAATAGCTCTTTTCATGACCACTTCTTCAAACAAGTGGCTCAATATTCGAACAGGATAGCCCTGGTAAGTAGTTGTCGGTGTTGACTGAGTGTTTTACTCATTATCGTTTTATCCGATCGGCATGTTTGTCGGTATTATTATTTTTTTGAAAATTTTCTGATAATTTTCAACGCCATGATATTACATGATATTAGACGATGATGTTTGTGAAACACGCTTCAAGTTGTTTTGTTCCTCTCATCGTGCTAAATAAAAATATTGCTTACATATTAAACCTAATAAATCAGATAAATACAATAATAATTAAAAATTATATGCCAATAATTATCATTATTATAAATAATTTTTCAAAAGGTGGACGGATTGAAGAAAGATGAAGTAAATTTCGGCGAGTTAATGGCAAAGGTCAAACTGTTGTCGGAGGGCTTACAGAGCTTGGGCCTTCAGAAGGGTGACATAGTGGGTCTCTGCGCCCCAAGCAGTTTTCAATATGTCTACTGTATGTTCGGCGTCATGTGCAACGGGGCCTGCATATCCAATGTTAACCATAACTATACCCCATGTTTGTATGTGTGTGGATTGTGTGTGTGTGTGCGTGTATGTGTGTGAGATTTTAATTACCTACAAAGATATACGAATGTTGTTAATCACTATGCTGTTTGATTGCTTCTTTGTTTAATTTGATGGCACGCATGACTACTTGCAATGTCATTCACCCCATCACACAGCGTATACACACACATACATGTTGTGGAAATCATTTATTTGTATCTTGTACTGTATCTTGTATCTTTTATTTATAGTATCTTATCATTGTGTGTTTTTATCGCATTGTATCTTATAATGTAATGTACCTTGTGGTCTCTATTGTGTCTTGTCTATATCTAATCTGCAGATGAATTAAGCAATGCAGTGAGATTGATCAATTCAAGATGGTGGATTACGACTAGATCCGTGAGGAAAAAGCTGCTAGCATCTCTTAGCCCGAATAACATTAGGGTTCGTATTAGAGGGTCTATTTGTTTTTACGATATGACGTCATCATCACCATCAGCTAACCATCACCACCATCATAACTTCGTTTCATTGTCGTGTCGTTTAAAATTTTTGTTTGATTTTTTAACTGGGAGTTGTGAAATTTTAATAGTTATTATGTGTCGTTTCGATGAATATTTTACTTTCGCCTGTAAGTTTTCTACATTTTATTATCAAATTTTGAATTATAATTTAAGGTTTTTTTCTATATTATTTATTATTGTAGTGTTTAAAAATATTATTAATAAATAGTTAATTGATTGATTAATTGATTAATTAATTAAAATTAGGTGATGATAATCATTGATGATGACAGCGATGAGGATGATGACAATGATGATGAGGATGGTTGCATCCTCCTAGCGTCGTTATTATCATCTGCCAGCAGGCCATCGCCGACGTTGCAATTTTCACCAGAAGAAACATCACCATCTTCACAATCATTATTTCTCCAATCATCGCCACCCCCATCATCATCATCATCATCATCGATTTCTGATCTACCCCATAAATTGTTGTCCCCGGGAGACGTGGACCCCTTAAAAGATGCAGCCCTAATTTTATTCAGCAGCGGGACTACAGGTCCCCCAAAAGCTGTCCTTCTCTCTCATCACAATCTCGTCGCCATGATGGTTCTGATGAGGTTTGTCTGTAGTTTGTAACGTCACAAGTTGTTAAAGCATTTGTCAAAGAGCTATAAATGATGAATAGCAAGAAGTCAGTGCCTTATAAATAGAAAATTTTTAAAAATTGTTTGTAAACTAAAAAATTAATTTTCTATTGCGATGGTTATCTGCGTAATCGTGTAAATTTTTGCAAGAAAAAGTCATCTAAGTACTTTTAATGCAGCATTCATTAGTAATTATTTAGTTATATACATACAAATCCTTTTTCTAAATATTTACAGCCATGTTTTAGAACCGCAAAATTACAACAAAATAAACGACAGTTTAAACAAAATCGACAACCGCAACGTCGTCACCGACCTAAGCCCAAAAAATGTTTCCGAGAACCAACCTGTCTGCCTCCTATTTTACCCGCTCTTTCACATCTATGGTCTTGTTGGCATCCTTTTTCACTCACTTTACAGAGGACACAAACTCGTCATATTACCAAAGTTTTCCCTCGCTGATATGTTCAAGTGCATAGAGCTCCATAAGGTGGGTTCAGTTCCCATTCGCACAAACAATTTATTTCGTAAAATAATTTTAATATTTTCCAATTTAATGAAACATTTGTAAAAAATTTCTGTCAATTCACTGTTTTCAAATTGAACTGATGTCCTCATTCAAATGATTGTAGTAACAAATAACATGCACGCCAACATTTGCGACACCAACTAAGCAGGTGACAATGCTCTACTTGGTACCATCCCTCGTTAATCGCATGATCAAGAACAGTGAGATGAAGAGGGATTACAACTTATCATCCATCAAGTTTGTGTCTTGCGGTGCTGGTCCATTGACTGAACAATCTTGTGTTGAATTCAAACGTCTCTATAACATCGAAGATGTGAGACAAGGTTTGACGTGTTTGTGGAGTTGAGGCGGCTACTGCTGTTGTCGCTTTGTGCTTCCTCATACAATGCTGTCGCTACTTTAGAACAAAATAAAGCAAATTAAATTTGAAATTTATTTTTTCAGAAACATTCAAAATTTTGTATTCTAGTTACTACTGTCAACTTTTAACGAGAGGATTTGAATTCCTAGGTTATGGAATGACTGAAAGTTGTTTGGCGAGTTTGCTTGTTGATCCCAATCTACCGCTAAAAATTGGATCAGTGGGACACCCCCTTCCTAATTCCGAAGTTGTGGTTAGAATTAAACTTTACTTTGCGTTGCAGAGCTGAGATACTGCTAGCTTTTGTAATTTGAAATAGATTAACGTTTCACGTGAGATGAGTTCGTTGTCTCGACGGTGTGGAAGATCGAACTGCACGCCTAATTCGATTTTAATTTTTGACGAACAAACACAAAATACAAAACTCTGCCAGGTGCGAAGCCTAAAAACAGGTGAGACATTTGGGCCCAACAAAACTGGAGAGATCTATGTAAGGGGTCCTCAAGTCATGCTAGGGTACTTGAACAACCAACGCGCGACTAATGAAGCCATTGACCAAGATGGGTGGCTGCATACAGGTTAATATTCATACAATATTTTATTTAATATTTTATTTTACCGATTGTTTCATCAATTATTTAATTAATTAGTTGATTGTTTGACAAAAGTTTAAACTAAAGAGATAATTTTCAATTCGTTTGAAGAAATTCTCTAGCCAACAGCATGCATATATCGTCATCATTGCCTATCCTACAGGAGACGTTGGATACTACGATGATGATGGCTACTTCTTCATTGTTGACCGCATCAAGGAACTCATCAAAGTTAATGGATACCAAGTAGGTTATTTTTTAACAAAATGTTTTTTTAACTCTTGAAAACAGCTATTAGTTAAAAATGTTGCAATTAAATTAACTTTAATGAAGTTTGGTCTGCCAATTTTTAGTTATCAGTACAGTAATTCAGCACAAAAACGTGAACTAACGAGAAAAACTTAAAAATACGAAAAAAATTTTTTAAGGTGTCCCCGGCAGAACTCGAATCCATAATCCTAACCCACCCATCCGTTTCCGATTGCGCCGTCGTCGGAATTTCCGATAACAGGGGTGGGGAAATTCCAAAAGCGTTTGTTGTTAAGAAGCCAGGTTATGACGTCAGCGCAGAAAACATTGTAAATCTTGTGGCGGGTAAATAGCTTAGTAGAGTTTATTTTTTTTTAATATCGTAATATTATATTTAAATAGACGTTATTATGATGTTCATAATTTATCAATGATGATCAATTATGAACGTGTAGCTAAAATAATAACAAAAATAATATCAGACTGACGATTATTATGTCTAAATTTACACTTTCCATTTAACTTTTCGAAGATCACACGTCTGCTTACAAGCATTTGAAAGGCGGCGTCTATTTCTTGGAGCGGTTACCAAAGAATGAAGCTGGAAAAATATTACGCAGACGTTTGAAAGATCTGCCCAGGAGTAAATTGTAAATGTCGACTGAGACTTAATTTTTCGAAAATACAATGAAGTATTTGAAATAATAATCTTTTAAATAATGCTCACAAAACATGAAACAAACAAAAATGACTGGCATTAATATTGAAACATGGCTTTTCATTTTTAGCGCGATTTGCGTTGAAACATTTGTCGGTCATGCACGCATCAAACAAATTTCACACATACGTGCTAATGAAACATTGCATACAATTGGCTGCCATTTCAATTTCTGTTGAAATCTCAATTAAGTTCAACTTTTAAGTCACGAATGAACATGAACAGGAACACAAACAAGTACAAACAAGCATGAACAAACATGAAAACAATCTCTAGATCGTGCGGTTATGAATGAGTGATTTGAAAGAAACGAAAATTAAAATTTTTGCGAACCAACTTGCCTTCGATGATGGCAGGCAGCATCAAGCAATCTTAACCACCAGGCCATCACACCGCCCAAAATTAATAACCAAGTACCAAACAAACTTTTTTAAATGTTTCAACCAGAAAACTTTTACAGCAGTGTCGAAAAAAAAACAATGAAAATTATTTTCATAACAAAATTTATAAACAATAATTTACCATTCATTCTAGTGAGATAAGTTTTAAAATTCAAATGTGAATAAACACTCCGTTGTGCACACGCACGCACGCACACACATTCATTCAAGTCAAAAACCGTACAATTAAAAATAAATTCAATTTAGAGATAAAGTTAACTTTATTTATTCAAAATTTTAAACTTAAAAAATATAATCACCAAAATAAAATTCCTTTAAAACAAGAAAAAAGCAGGATGATCATAAGAATACCTACTACATAGTAGCAATTGCAAAATTATAAATACTAATGATAACTAATTAACTAAAGTAACTATAATTAACTTATAGCAACATTCAAAACAACACCTAAACAAATTAATAAAACATAATTAATTAGTTAATTAATCAATTAATTAAACAACTTTAAAAACTAAAATACACCATTTATATTAGATTGATAAGCCTGAAGCATGATTGGATAAGAGAAGATCGAATTAAATGTATCAAGATACACCTACGTAGATACCACTATCAATATCCATATATGTGATTGGGGATATCAGATGGCAAGTGTGACTTATGACTGATTTGCATGTGACACACACACACACACACACACACACATACACACACACACACACGAAAACTTGGTTGGGTGTGGACTTACTATACAATTACACGTGTAATAAAACTTACTGAAATTGTAAAATTTGTATAAAAGTTTTGTTTTTTCTCAAAAATAATAACAATCTGGATTAATCAAATAGATGAATAACCACCAAAAGAAACTGTTGAAAATGAAATGTCAACCAATACAACAAGTAAAATCAACCACGAAAGATATGAATCCAATCTTCATGTTTTAAGGTATCCAGAAAATCATTTTAGGAAAAGTTGAAAATTTACAAATATTTAAAAATAAATTACAATCCGTGAATGAATGATCCTAAAATGATTACGGCAGCAGAAAGTGACGATGATTTGAAAACGAAACTGATGGCAAGGATTATTATGTGACTAATTTGATGAATGAGAAATTAATTAATGAACATTTTCCTTTATGATGATGTAAAATATAAAGGAAAAACATATTCCAGCAACCAAAGCTATTTCTAGAAACATTCCATTGTCAGATGTATGTATGTCGTCAAATATCCACACTGTGACATTCTTAAAATGCATATGTATAGATTAGGTACACTTATATACACAAAAGTCACAAACACACGAACGTATTATAAGCATACATATATAAACACACAATTCACACGCACATATATTCTCTCTCTCGCAGGCACGCACACACACAACACACACACGTGTAAGCCACTAACTAAGTTACATTTACAAAAATCCACTAACAAAATGTTTGAAATATCAAGGGTTAAAATATTAGGTCTAAAATATCAAGCATCTACCACAAAGAAGCTGAGTTAGTAAAAAAAATTAAATAAAATATGGTATGTATGCGTGCCTATGTGTGTGAGCGCGCGCGCGTATGTAGTGCATGTATGTGTATGTATGAGTGTGTGTGTGCGTGTGTGTGTGTGTGTGTTATAAAGTATAGTGTCAAGTTAATATCCAGGTAAAAAAAGATCAGGTCAAAGTTCGATGTTCAAGGTCAAAGTTCATTGTTCAATGCCCCTTTGGATCTTCAAGGTCGAACCTACATTTTAATTTAAATTTAATCCATGACAATCATCGTCGGCAAGTAATTGTTTAGAAAATAATAATATAAACAAAATTTATTTGCCATTTTTCACACACATATGCACACACACACACATACGCATACACACACATACCACTGAGTGAGAGCAGAACTGAGGTTGCCCAGTTTTGCGAGTTCGACGGCAACGACGCCCATGTCAGTGCGACTTTTTGAGAAGACCCCCACGTCATTCTTCACTGCCACTTCCAGAGTACGGAATGGGAACTCCATAACTCCCAAATCCCACTCAAATCTGTGGTGGCGTTGGGTCGGTTTTGTTTGTGGCGTGTGAGTGTAGTGTACAGGATGGAATGAATAATTAATAAATAAATAAATAATTAATAAATAAATAATAAATAAATAATAAATAAATAATAAATAATAATTATTAATAAATAATTTTTCAAAAATTTTTTTCGAAATGTAATGTTTTGTCTGAGACTGGCGAATGATTTTTTTTTCACCCATCGTAATCTACTACATTCAGGCACGAACGTTTCATCGAAAGTTGGATTCAGGGTGTTTTTGACCAGCTTGGTCTTCCTCTTGGTATCAGCGGTCCTGTCAGGCAGCAAGTACATTCTGACGTACGGATCCGCCAGGTTGTCCTTATCACAGGGGATCAAGTTTCTGATTGGTCGATTAGCTAATCATTTTTATTGATATTTTTATTTAGTTGAATGAGTAAGGGGTGAAGACGATTACGATGAAGTTGTCGCTGAGAATGATATGAAGATGATAAAGATGATGATAGTGGTGGTACGAACTTGCACTGGTGAACAACGAGAACGAGTTTGTTCCTGTTGCCAGAATGTCTGATGGTCAGTTGGATCTGCCCAAACTTGCTGAACAATTGGTGGAATTAACAATCAAGATGACGAATTAAAATGACGATGATGAAAAAATTGTGTTAGTAACAAAAATCGTGATGATGGCGATGATGAAAATGATGATAAAAACACTACAACGACAAACCTGGGAGGTTTCTTAGAAGCCACAACATCAGCAGCAGCAGCAGCACTTGAATCAGTGGTTGAAGCGCCAAATTTGGGAACCAATGAAGGTGATGGCGTCGTTCGATCGTTGAATGGTTGCTGGCGTGGTTGTGCCAACTGCTGTGGTTGTTGTGGAGACGTAAAATGAGGTTGCACTTGTAGTAGGATCGGCTGTTTTGGATGTTGTGGTGATTCATATTGGTGCATTTCTGGTGGTGGGGTCGGATGCATGGCCTGGGGTAGCTTATAATCTCCTTGGTAGTTGGATTCGTCATGTGGAACGGTCTCGGCCACTTTTTTCTTGATGTCAGTAGGAGGAAGAGTTGGAGGTGGGACTTCCTTGGGAGGGGCTGGTTCTTGGGGGGCTGCAGGTTTAGCAGCAGGGTCTACATCACTGGGATCCACATTCGTTTCGTTATCCTGTAAACATAGATGGGATAGTGTAGTGGGCGAGTTGCTTTAAATATGTAAGTGGGCATACGGAAGGAATGTAATGTTATATAGTATTACTATGTAATGTAGTTCTCAATTTCAGAATGTATCTAAGTCTATTTAAAATTCCAAAACATTCATAACAAAGACCTTCTCCTCCTCCTCCTCTTCAGTTTTATCCACTGTGACAATCTTGGGTGGAATATCTCCAGCCTCATCATCACCTTCTCCTACTGAAGCAAGCGGATCTTCTGCTGATAATCCCCCAAGTCCGAAAGAGAAGACGTTGTCGTTGTTGGAGCCGCTGACGTTCATTCCATCAAACTGCTGCTTCAAGACGTTGCCGAAACTCAACGCAGCTGCTCCACTCAACTGAGACCATTCTACCGGACAGACCTTGCACTTCAACACCTGCATGTGTGTGTGTGTGTGTGTGTGTGTGTGTGTGTGTGTGGTTGATTGCCTATGGTATTTTGTGGTAACTGGTCATGGTCATTCACGATCTCATAGTGAATACCACAAATTCAACCGATAATAATTGATTGGACACGAACCCAAGACTTGAAACAATAAAAAGCAGCTGAACTGCACTCACCCTCAATATAAATCTAATAGTGATGGAGCAATTTCTATCGATATCAAGCAGAGGATACTCTTGAATGAGTGAGAGGTTCTTGGTCAGCATGACCGAGTTAATGGGCACCATCATCGTGGCCAGGGTGGTCTCCTTTGAACTGCCCTTGTGCACCAGCTGTCAACGACGTTTGAGGATCATTAGCGAGGGTCGTGTTTGTTGAGAAAAATATTTCAGTAAAACAATTTTAAATATGAAAGTATCGTTATTTATATAGACAAAAGTAAATGAATGATATTTAATTTAATAAAAATAGAAATAGCAAAAAGAAATAATTTTTCTAAAAATTTCCGTCTTCTCTCATCTCTACCCACCCACAGCCCCCCAACCTACCTCCAGCTCCAGCTGATCTTTTTGTGGATTGGTGATGAAGAAGTTGAAGTTCTCGCCCCAGACAGGATCCCCAGTTCCGTATTTGATGGTCGTTCGTCTGGAATCGTGCAGCAACTTCGCCTTTACATACGTGTTGCGCGGTTTGCCCGTGTTCAAACTTTTCTGTGATGGTCGGGGTCGGTGGAGTCGTAAAGTGTTGAGGTGTGAAAAAAAAAAAAATAAAACAAACAAAGAATAATAATTTCAATGTTCAGAAACAAAGTACGAACAGGAATATTTTTAGCAGAATCGATGACGACTAGAAGGATGGATGTGGCAAACGTGTCACTAACCGTGCCCGTCACCTCACTCTGCTCGCAGGGGTACAAAATTTTATTGCATACTAACATGTCGTAGATTTCAAAATAGTTAAACACAAACAAATATGTTATTGAAATAACTACATATAAATAGTTAAATATTGATAAAATTAATTATAATTAATTAATTAATATAAAGTTAATTGTTGAGCATTAAGGTAGAGATTGTAAATTTTATAATTTTCAATTTATTAATTGACTTTTGTATAGGAAGACAGAAGAATAAATTAATAAACCAATGAATGTATGAATGAACGAACGAATGAGTAAATGAATGAATGAATGACTGAACAAATAAATAAAGGAGAGAAGAATTAATGATTGAGAGAAAGGACAGATAAATAAATAATGGTTGAAAAAAACGCCTCAATGGACAAATGAACCAATTGGTAAATAAATCAATGCACGAATGAATAGATAAATGGATGAAGAGAAGGAATAAAATAAACGAATGACTAAACGAATGAAAGATCAAACGAATGGACAAACAGGTTTATAATCGTCCATCTTCTTACTGGCAGCCAACCACAGGGCCCTCATGTGTATAGCCCCAGTGGGGGCATTGGATAGGGGCAGCCACTATAATTTTATTCAATATTTAAATCGAAAATATTCATAATAAAAAAATTATTATGACAAATAAAATAAAACATAAATGCAACACTAACAATGTCAACATTTTTCTTTGATGCAACCATTTCAATGTCCAAAGTTACACTGAGTTAAAATAAAATAATATAATATAATTTACTATAATAAAATATAATATGCTATAATATAATGAGATTAAATAAAAACTAAATAAAATATAATATACTATAATATAATGAGAAAAAAATAAAAATAAAATAGTCAGTGGCGTAATGGTCAAGATGCCTGGCACAGTGGTCTCGCAATGACCGGATTCAAATGCGAACAGATCCCCACCCATCACACAAATGCATTGATTGCATGTGTGTGTGTGATGCATTGATTCACGTGCATTCACACATAGACAGTGTGTTTGTTGTCGATACTTCTTAGAAATACCACAGAGAAAATTGTAAGAAAATTATAAAAAAATAAAAAAAAAACGGGAGCCAACTTTCCCAGAGGGTCATCATTGGTACTGCCGGCATCCTCATCAAACACCTGGACGTCGATCCATTGACCTCTTGTTTGGTCCACTACAAACTATGCAGAGATTTATAAAACACATTGATAACAAAGATAATTTATCTCCATACAGAGATCTATAAAACATTGATAACAAAGATAATTTATCCCCATACAGAGATTTATAAAACCCATTGATAACAAAGATAATCTATTTATTCCTTAAACAAAATTAAAGTATAATATCGTGAGTATTAACAAAGAAAAACGACCATCAAACCTGGAAGTATTGGTCCCAAACAGGATCCAATGTAGCATGAATGGTCTTTGTTCTCTGTATCAGATTGCCCACTACGTGTACATAGGTATATAACTCAAGGGTATCAACAGGCGACCACACACACATACACACACGCACAAACACACACTCACACAAGCACTCTCACACACACACATACACACACACGCACGCACTCTCACACACACACACACACACTCTCACACACACACACACAAAAACGTAGAGTAAATAAAATTATCTAGAAAAAATCGTTTTCTTGTAATAAATGAAGAAGCACAACACCAGTCAGTCAGTCAGTCAGCCAATAAGAAGGAAGGTCTAGTTTGTGATTCAGTTAGAAAATTTTAGTAGATGAACATGTGTGAATTTAATTAGTCATACACTTTTTTGTATGATGGGTAGAGATTACTTTGAATAGTTAGTATAGTAACACAAAGAAGGAGAGAGAGAGAGAGAGAGAGAGAGAGAGAGAGAGAGAGAGAGATTGAAATCAAAAAATGGGAGGAAAAGAAAAATTTTTCTAGCCTCCAATAGTGCAGTAAGGATCAGATTTTCCTTTCCCAATGATGTTGATGTCTGCAGACTTCAGTGCCTTGCATTCCACCATGTGTATGATCACCAAGCCCTGGTCATCATGATGATGATGAAATGAAGCGATGATGATGAAATGTTATGACGATGGTGATGATGACGATAAAGGTAGTGGCAGAAAATAACACTATCATGACGATGATGAAGACGATGATGAAGATAAGAAGACGATGATGAAGATAAGAATAACATGATGATGATTGTGCAATGAATAACCAGCTAAAAATAGGATAAGGATTGTATTGTTCTTCATACCCTTATTAAACAAATTAACAAACTTAAAATTTATTTACTAGTATTACTACTACTACTAGTACTACTACTACTACTATCACTACTACTACTACTACTACTAATACTACTCCAATAGTACTACTACTACTTTAACAATAATTAAGAAAAAAAAGTATGGTGCACACATATAAAGTCTACCACCAAAATAAAACAAAACGGTCTAACTATGACCAAACCTCTGGCGGGGGATACTTAATCATGGTAGAATCGACGCTGCCATGCAATGCTATCGGTATCCTCCTTGGTAGCACGCACAAATCCGACAGTACATTGCACACTATGTCCTTGATTGTCTTCCTAAATTTTTATAGAAAAAATGGCGAGTTTTTAAACTTTGAAAATTCATTTGAAATTTTTGATTGGATAATTGAAATTTGGATGGTAGAGAGTGGAGATAATGATAATAATCAATGATGATGATGGTGAGTGATGATGATGATATAATACGCTGATTGATTGATTGAATAAGGATTAATAACTAAATACTTGATGACAGGCAAGTCCAGAATATTGGCAGCTGCTGTCATGTCAAAAGTAACCTCCTGTTGTGAAAAATAAAATGCAATAAAAGTTAATAGTTTTAAAAAATTAAATTAAAAGTATGAATCTCTTTCATAAAATAATCAAAAAATTACAATAAATAAAGTTTTATACCAAAAAAACTTTGAAAAAAAAAAACACAAAAAATTAAAGTATGGCAAGCCACTAACAGGGCAATTAAGGAAAAAAACAGTCAATCCACCTATGATAGGTACATCACTGATTAGCGGGTTGATCACGCACCTCAAGTTGCCATAGATCTAACAATTATCATTTTTAAAAAAGAACTTAAATTTTAAAAATAATGACGATAACTATTATCAACATTGTCATAAAAGCAAATAAGAGAAAAAAATAAATAATAATAATTATCTTCATAATTTTTAAAATTTTGAATGAAATAATTTTCTCCCACCCTTAGAGATTTGATGCCAAAGTTTATGCCCTTAACTGTGCACTTTATATTAGCATCTCCAGCATACCTATTCCAGTAAATTGAAAATAATATTTAAAAAAATAAAATAAAAGTATTAATAATAATAATAATAATAATGATAATAATGATAATTCAAAATATTAATAATAAGCTGTTAAAATGTTGATTAGCCTAAAAATAATGCAAATGGAAACATGAAAATATTGAAAAAATTAAAAATAATCTCGATAGATAAAAAACTAATTTTACAAAAATAAAACAGAGACTAAATATAAGGTACTAAAAAATAATAAACCTGACATTGACGTCTACAATTATCTCATCCTGCTTGTTTACATCTGTATATACCTTCACACCCTCTATCCTGATTGGCTGAAATAATTTTTAAAAATAGAAAAATAAAAGGCAATTAATACCATTAAAGCATTTTGTAAAGGAGTGAACGATCATGATTCGCAAACTTAGAAAACTAACATAGACCTAAATAAAATTGTAAATATTAAAAAATACTAAGTGAGGAATAACAAAAGGTTACACAAAGATTAAAAGTGAAATCAGATAGAAACAAAACTTACAATATCTCCCATGTCGACGTTGTTGAATTTGAAGACCCCTAAGTTAGCTGGCATGTACCCCTGAATGGAATCCTGGATGGTTGTCACTATCAAGTTCTCCACGTACTCTGCTATCACCGGCCATAACTGCTTTACCATCTGGAGTGATTAAATATTATTTTTTATCTTGTAATTTGATCTTATAATCTAGTAAAACATAATAACTCAATGACTTATTTATCAATAATATCAATTAATTAATTAACTTAATTTGTCACTAATATTTATTATCTTTTGTTGTTAATTGTGTGTTCTTATTATAACCCTAATAATCCAGTTTTTAAGTGAATTTCACTACATACAACAAAAATTTTACACTAAATATGTGCAATAATATTTTTCCATGACATTTTTTATCTTATGAAATATAGTAACTAAAAACTTATAAAAATAATAGCAATTATAAATCACTTCATTTGTTAATAATATAATTATATTTTATTAAATTTGCAACTGAAAAAATTTAAGAAAAAAACATACTTTGTTCAGCCATTCAGCTCGTTCAACCTCTGGGAAATAAATCTAAAAAAAAACAAACCAAACAATATTCAACCATTAATTATTTTATTTAAATTTTTGAATAATCAAATAACAAAAAGTTGAAAAAAATTTCTGGCAGCCAACCGACCCAGGAAGCATGAGATTTATCCACTCGACTCAAGATGGCCCCCTTCTCACTGCACATAGCCTGCAGGGCATACCTTCGTTTGGACTTAATCTGTTTGGTTACCTCTTCACTGACGATATGAAAAAATAGGAGAACAAAAATCCACGCCACACTCATTCCCAGATACCCCCAACACCAAACTGCAATTGCAATTCCGGTTGTCTTGAAGCCCTTCAAAATTAGCGAAATCAAGCTACCATCGTTACCTTTGTTCAGTTTTTCTCTTTTGGCCAGCAAAAGAGTGTGATAGTCGTCCACGGCAGACATTTTTTATTCTGCTGCGAATGCACTAAGACTAAACACTAAACGGAGCAAGTTACACCAAATCTACCAGAAACCAAATAAAACTGCGATCTAGACGTCCGTAACACCAGTTTTATGTATGTGATTTTTAAATTTTATGATCAAAGACATATAAATATGGAGTGCCGATATACTTTTGAGTTAAAATGGAAAACTGAAGAAGTTAAAGAAATCATTAATGCATAAAGCACATGCAAATTTAAAACACGTGTTTTAACTTAAAAAAAAGTTTTTATTTTATTTGATTGAATAAATTTTAGTGAACGAATCTCGTTAATTAAAGAATAATAAATCTAAACACTCTATTAAATCGTTTCTATCTCGTTTAATAAATCTAAACATTCTATTACTATTCCTCCTATTATTTTACCTAATTTTAAAACTCTTGATGTCTCTCATAAGTTTCGTAGTCTAGGTTTTATCTTTGATTCTACTATGTCTCTCTCTTCTCAGATTAATAGTGTTGCTAGAAGCTCTTACTTTCATCTACGTAGAATAAAAAAACTTTTGCCTTTTCTTGATGATCCTACTCTTCTCCTTCTTGTTACTTCGTTAGTCTTATCTAGGATTGATTATTGTAACTCGCTCTACTATGGTCTTCCTTACTCTATACTATATCCTTTAAGTAAGCTTTTAACTCTGCTGCTTTTAACTCTAGTTGCTCGTGCCCCTTTCTTTTCTCATATATCTCTCTTGCACTGGCTACCTATAAAATATAGAATAATTTTTTTAATTTGCACGTTCATGTAAAAGTCTAAATCTAAATTATTTTCTAAGTATTTATCAGATATATTAATTGAACCTAAACACCCCGGTTTACGATCGTCTTCTTCTTCTCGCTTTTTCTTAACTCGTGTTAAACACTCTTTTGCCAAATCTGTTTTAGCTTTTTCTGGTCCTTTTCTCAGGAACTCTCTACCTACTTCTCTGACTACTTCTCCATCACTTGCGAAGTTCAGAGTGGATCTCAAGACTCATCTGTTTTCAAAATTCATTGAGGAGCGCTGTTGAACATCGCGGAAATAGCGCTTCATAAGCTAATTGATTGATTGAAAGAAATTCTATGTTTTTAAATCATTTAAAAATATTCCTTACAGTAGAAGTTTTATTATTTTACACCAATCGACCCAATAATTGTATGTTTAAAAGATTATTACATATATTTACTCATGGCAAAATTATAGCTAACACGTTGCATCAAAATATATTTACTAAATGACAATTTTCCAACAACTGTTATAACCGTGTCTCGGTTTTTATTCATTTAAAAAATATTCTGACAGTAAATATTTTATTATTTTACACCAATCGACACAATATATTTATTCATGAAACTGGTGTTACGGACGTGCTTCTAGAGAAAGTTGGAAATGTTGTTGGTCGAAATTGGCTGAATGTAGCAGACAAATTAAAAATAGAACTATATACAGACACAAAAATGCTAATAAATAAATAATATTTAAAAAATTACAGTAAAAAAATTAAATTTATGTGGTTCTAAAATATTTTATGAAACCAAAAACAAAATTTAATCACCGTAAACATTGATATAATTTTACAGCTAGTTGCGTTTCTTTGCTGTTATTCATATATATATGTTGTCATTTGCGATAATTAAGGATCAATCGTTCGTCGTTCGGACTGACATCCCTGAATTTAATTCTTTCGTTGTTAAAAATTTGTGATTTAAAATCAAGAAAAGTTAAAATTTTTTTATAATGGCGGACGCCGCTGCTCGTTCATTACAATATGAATACAAAGCGGTATGTAGATTTTATTTTTGATTTTGATTTTAATATTTAATATTAAATTAATTGATTTATTTAATTAATTGATCATCTTTGGCTACTTTTTTATTAACAACATTAACTGATTTATCTAATCAGCTAATCTTATTAAATATATATAATATCTCAGAAAAATTTATGCATTCTGTATTCACCATAATCATAATGTAATAACTAATTACTAATGTGGGCTAATTATCTTCCAGAACTCCAATTTGGTGTTGCAAGCAGATCGCTCATTGATTGACAGACGCCCTAGAGATGAGGCCACCGGTGAAGTTCTGCCACTGTCGGCCAAGATGATAGAACGAAACAAAATGGGCTCTCTAGCGAAACGGACATGCCCACCTATGATTGAAGAAAAGCGTGCAAAGTTTGTTTCTGGTTTTTATATTTAGTTTTTAAAAGTGTACCTCTAACTTAGAGAACTGATTATTAAAAAATTGAATTATTAATTTCATGTTTATTTCTTTTCAATTTTATGTTTTTTGATAAAATTTTCTGTAGTTTCAGTACTTCCTTATTTATTAACTTTTTCCATTTTAAACAATCAGGAGACGCAAAAGAGATGAAGCCCAATATGAAATGGTTAGGATGAAGGGCGCCACGTTGCTGTCTGAGGGCATAGAGGATTTGGCTGGGGTCATCTACAGACCAAAGACCCAGGAAACAAGGCAGACATATGAAACCTTACTGAGTTTTATCCAGGCTGCTCTGGGAGATCAGGTACTTTTTAAATGGATTTTACATTTTGGATTATTATTTGTTTATTTTTTAGGAACTTTTTTAGAATATTCTATTAAATTCATTATTCGGATTTAATTCTGTGTAGTTTTATAATTTTGTTCATCTTCTCTTGTATCCTGTATTAATATATTTTATCTTTTATAACTTTAATTAAATGTAGATCTTTCTGCCTTCTTAAATCTATTATTTTTTTAACCCTCATTTATATTTCACTATTATCTTACATATAATTTATAACTTTATGTTCCTCTTACATTTACTTTTCCACTTTATGACAGTTACATTATAATTTGTAAACTTATGTGATTTCTATGTTAATTTTTTCCTCAGCCTCGAGATATCCTGTGTGGGGCTGCCGATGAGGTTCTCGGAGTTTTGAAGAATAACAAAGTAAAAGATAAAGATAGAAGAAGAGAGGTACATAAACACACAAAATACACATACAAATACACACAAAATACACACACACAAAATGTGCATACACACCTACACACCCACAGATATTTCATATTATAAAATAAGCTTATTTGATATTTTTTCAAGATTGAAAATCTCTTGGACAAAATGCCGGATGAAAGATTTGCGCTGCTAGTAAATTTGGGCAAGAAAATCACCGATTGGGTGTCGGACGAGAAGTCGATGGCCACCGGCGATGATAACATTGACGAAGCCTACGGTATTAATGTGCAGTTTGAGGAACAAGAGGAAGAGGTAGGAGGAGCTGTTTGTTTGTTTGTTTGCCTGTCTATATGTCTGTCTGTCTGTTTCTTGATCTTGTCATAAAGTGATCGGTGACGATTATTTATTTCAAAACTTTTTAGGACGATGATGATTTCTTCGGTGAAATAAGAGAAGATGGAGAGGACGAAGAAGAAGGTGAGGAAGCTCACATTGATGCTACACTCAGAGCTAATGTTAGTATGATTCTGTGTATAGTAACATCACATCAACATCTCAGATATCACAACAATCACATTATCATAACATTTTCTTACAAGTTCTTATCATTTCGTCACGTCACTGCAAAACCATTAGCATCATTAACTGACTACATAATGACAATACTCTTTGCGCTCGCCACTACAAAACCATCAACATCAACAACTAGATCATCATCGCATTAACTTCAGTCACGTCATTACCAAACAGCTGTCAAGTGATGGAGACGGATTAGGTAAGAAAGAAAAAGGTCTGCACCCCCACGATATTGATGCTTTCTGGCTGCAGAGGAAACTGAGCAGATTCTATACCGATCCCATGGTGGCTCAGATGAAGGCAGCTGAAGTCCTTGACATCCTCGAGGTTTGTGCTTGATACCAAATTACTTTTAGTTTGTGTTTGTGACATTTTCGGTCTGATGTTTATATGATCTCGTGTGTATGTGCGTGTGTGTGGTGTGTGTGTCTGTGTTGTTTCTTGATAACTTTAATATTTCTCAATGCGATTGTTAAATTGTTTCTTTGAGGTAAGTAATATAAATAATTATGTAAAATGTTGTAATTTTAATAATATGAGTCAATAAATTTTGTGAACTGCAAATGAAACATCCACAAAACAGAGCGCCAAAGATGACAGAGAGGCAGAGAACAAACTTGTGATTCTGCTGGGCTGTGAACAGTTTGAACTGATCGTCATCCTCAGACAATATAGGCAGATGAGTTCGTGTCCTTTTTTTACTACATTCAATGTTTTGTACTTTTGTATTACCTTCATATTTTCTTTGTTTTATTTATTTTTATAAATAAAAAAAACATGAATTTGTTTGTGATTTTAGTAACTTTATAATTGAATTTGTGTTACAGTTCTCTATTGCACGCTGCTTGCAAAGGCGCAGACAGAGTCAGACAAACTGAAGATCGTCGAATTAATGGAATCCGATCCAGAACTGAAAAAAATTTTGCGCTCTCTCCAGGAAACGGAGAAAGATGACGTCATCAGGGAAGAGAGGATGAGGAGGAAGGCTGTGAGGAAGTCGAGAGTAGACGAGGATGCTGAAATGGTGGAAGATGTCGACGAGGGAGGAGTAAGTTTTTGTTGTTTTTCAAATTTTTATTCATTTGACATCGCTACATTGTCACCTGCATCTTTGTATTCTTGCCAACATCGCAGGCACTCCCATCAATGAACGTTTTAGACCTGGAGGAGTTGATGCTATCTCACGGATCCCACTACATGGCAAACAATGGTGTCAAGTTGCACGAGGGTTCATTCAGGAAACAGAAAAAGGGTTATGAAGAGGTTCACTTGCCTGCTCTCAAACCAAAGCCATTCGAAGATGGAGAGGTCTGCTGATTAATTGATTGACTGACCGAATGACTGATTATTTGATTGGTTTGATGCTTGATTGGCTGATTGGTTTGATTGGTTGCTTGATTGATTTGGCTGGTTGGTTCAAGTGAAGTTTGGAGTTAATGGCTTGTTCCACACTTTTGAAGATGAAAGAACAAACTTTATAAATTTTTTCTATTTATCAAGTTTTTTTCTTCATCTGTTGAATCAGCTATGGTATTAATTTTACTTTACAGTCATTAGTGCCGATAGAGAAGCTGCCGAAATATGCCCAGCCTGCATTTGAAGGCTTCAAATCACTGAACAGAATTCAGAGCAGATTGTCAAAGGCTGCTTTGGAGACAGATGACAATCTCCTACTGTGTGCTCCAACTGTTAGTCTTTCATTCATTCATTTATTCATTCATTCATTCATTTATATATTCATTCGTTTATTTATTTATTCATTCATTCCTTTATATATTAATTCATTTATTTATTTTCTTGTTTGCAATCAACCAATCAACGAACAACCAACCAATCAACCAACCAGGGCGCGGGTAAAACGAACGTAGCCCTGTTAGCCATGTTACGAGAAATAGGGAAAAACATCAACAACGACGGGACGATTAACACTGAAAAGTTCAAGATCATCTACATCGCCCCCATGAAGTCGCTCGTCCAAGAGATGGTCGGCAGTTTTAGAAAGGTGGCTGGTGATGTTTTTACAACGTGATTTAAAACATTTTTTTTCCTACAGTATTTCGATTCATAATTTACTAATTTACACACATACTCACACACGCACATTAATACACACACACACACACACAAACACATTAATACGCACGCACACTGCACACACACACACCGTAAACTAATCAACTCCTTCCCTACTGAACAACCACATATACAGCGCCTCAGCAGTTACGGCATCCACGTGGACGAACTGACCGGCGACCACCAGCTGAACAAAGAACAGATAATGTCTACTCAGATAATTGTTTGCACCCCTGAGAAATGGGACATCATAACGAGGAAAGGAGGGGAAAGGACCTACACCCAACTTGTCAGACTCATCATCATTGTAAGTAGCTGTGTGGTTGGATGTTGTATTATTATTTTTCGTTGGTTAACACTTGAACCAGTATTTCAAACACCTGCCAACAAATGAACGAACTCACAATTGAACACACACACACACACACCTATACAGGATGAGATCCATCTCCTTCACGATGATCGCGGTCCAGTCATCGAAGCTCTGGTAGCTAGAACGATCAGGAACTGTGAAACGATGCAAGAAGAAGTGCGTGTCGTTGGCTTGAGTGCCACACTGCCGAACTACAAAGATGTTGCAAAGTTCTTGAGAGTGCCCGATCATGCCCTCTTCCATTTCGACAACTCGTACAGGCCTGTGCCTCTGGAGCAACAATACATTGGCATCATGGAGAAGAAGGCAGTCAAGAGGTTCCAGATCATGAATGATATTGTGTACGATCAGGTCATGCAACATGCTGGAAAAAATCAGGTTGGTTAATTTGTGGACTCTCTATGGTTTTTACTTTGTCATTTGATTGAAAAGTTAATTTGCTGATTGATTTTTGATAAATTATCTAGTTTGATTATCGTTTGATAGTTTTTAAATGCCTAATAACAAAAAGACTGATTGATATTTTCAAGTTTAGCAATTGTTCTTATCAATGCTGTCTTTAAAATAATCATGCATATATACAGTACACATACACACTATCACTATTTTATTAGTATCATCCCATCATCATCGTCATCCTATCATTCGTTGAATATTTCTTTCAAAGGTCTTGGTCTTTGTCCACTCAAGAAAGGAAACTGGCAAGACAGCACGAGCCATCAGGGACATGTGTCTGGAGAATGATTCACTTGGTCAGTTCCTCAAGGAGGGCAGTGCTTCCACTGAGGTCCTCAGAAGAGAAGCCCAGGACGTTAATGTTAGTATGCAGTGTTCGTACTGCGTGTTAGTTCACGATGTTTGCTTTGTTTTGCATGTAAGGTGCCAGATGTCACCTATTGAATATTTCACAATAAAAATTGTCTTTCAGAACCACGAACTGAAAGACCTGATGCCTTACGGATTTGCCATCCATCACGCCGGCATGACTCGAGTCGACAGGTCCTTGGTTGAAGATCTTTTTGCCGACAGACACATCCAGGTCCTCGTCTCCACATCAACCCTGGCATGGGGTGTCAACCTTCCAGCACACACCGTCATCATAAAGGGCACGCAGGTTTATAATCCTGAAAAAGGTAGATGGGTCGAACTTGGAGCCCTTGACGTCATGCAGGTTTTTGAGAAATTTTTATTGTTACCTTTCTTTTATATTTGTATTTTTTGTTTTTATTTTTGTTTCACTTTCTAATTATAACTTCATATCTTTCTAATCTAAGTCATTCAATCCACTGTTAATTTTTCCTCAGATGATGGGTAGGGCAGGTCGGCCACAGTTTGACACAAAAGGAGAGGGCATATTGATCACCAATCACACAGAACTTCAATATTATTTGTCCCTCATGAACCAGCAACTGCCCATCGAGTCACAGTTCATCTCAAAGTTACCCGATAACCTGAATGCTGAGATTGTGCTGGGCACTGTTCAGAATGCTAAGGATGCTGTTAAATGGCTAGGTTGGTTGGCTGTTGGTTGGCTGTTGGTTGGCTGTTTGATTTGTGGCTGGTTAATGAAATGTTTTGTTGGCTTTCGATTGATTGATCATATTGATTGGTTAAACAAACAAACAATACAAACAACAGCTTAAAAAAACACAACAAACAAAGAAAACAAACAAACACAACAAACAAACACAAAAAATGAAACAACAATTTTACCAGGATACACATATCTCTACATTCGAATGATTCATAGTCCGGCTCTGTACAGTGTACCAGTTGACAGTGACCTTCTATTGGAAGGCTACAGGTCAGATCTCATACACACAGCTGCCTCCCTCCTTGATAAGCACAACCTAATCAGATATGATAAGAAGGCCGGTCATTTCCAGGTTGGTCGTTGTTTGTGGTGACGTTGTTGTTGTGGTTGTCGACGTCGTTGTTGTTGAAAATTATATTGAAATATATATTTTCAATATATAGGTCACAGAATTAGGTCGCATAGCCAGCTACTACTACATCTCCCATGAGACGATTGCAACGTACAACCAGCAGTTGAAGCCGATGTTGAGTGAGATTGAGCTGTTCAGAGTGTTCTCCCTGTCGGCTGAGTTCAAGCACATAACTGTCAGAGATGTTAGTTTTTATTACCTGGTTTTATTTTTACTTCATACTTTTTATACTTTTATTTGTTATTTCGTTGACAACTTTTTAAAATTTAATAACAGGAAGAGAAATTGGAGCTTTCAAAATTATTAGAACGTGTGCCGATACCCATCAAAGAAAGCATCGAAGAACCAAGTGCAAAGGTCAACGTGCTCCTCCAGGCCTACATCTCCCAACTCAAACTCGACGGATTCGCTCTTGTTTCTGACATGGTCTTTGTCACCCAATCAGCGTCGAGGTTGATGAGGGCCATTTATGAAATCGTTCTACACAGAGAATGGGCCCAACTGGCTGATAAGGCGTTGGCTCTTTGCAAGATGATTGACAGGAGAATGTTGGTGTTGTTTGTTTGCAGTTTAACATTAATTTTTATGACCAAGAAAAAAAATTTTTTCATTGATAAAAAAGCTAAAATTATTTAGATGATAGAAAAGCAGTAATATTTCTTCTCAACAGGTGGCAATCAATGAGTCCTCTGAGACAGTTCAAGAAAATGCCCGAAGATGTGATTAAGAAAATAGAAAAGAAGAACTTCCCATGGGAAAGATTCTACGATTTGAACCCGCACGAGATAGGGGAACTAATTAGGATGCCTAAAATAGGTAAAACCGTCCACAAGTACATCCTGCAGCTGCCCAAGTTGGACCTGTCAGTTCACGTGCAACCAATCACGAGGTCCATGTTGAGAGTGGAGCTGACCATCACTCCGGACTTCAAGTGGGATGATAAGGTGCATGGTCAGTCGGAAGCCTTCTGGATCATTGTTGAGGATGTTGATGGCGAAGTTATCCTTCATCACGAGTACTTCCTCTTGAAAGCGTTTGTATTCTTTCCCATTGTTACTGCCCTTATCTTTTATTACGCTTCGTTTTAGTTTCATTTGTCATTTAACTTCATGTTGTTGGATTTAATTGCTTCAAGCAAACTGATTTGATTCTATTTTTTATTGATTTCAAAATATGTCATTTTATTATGTTGTGTTAATCGATAACTTTTTGCATAACTTTAATCAAATCCTTTTCTACTTTTTGCAGTAAGTTCTGTACTGATGAACACCTGATAAAGTTCTTTGTTCCAGTTTTTGAACCTCTTCCGCCACAATACTTCATCAAAGTTGTATCCGACAGATGGATCGGTTGGTTCATTTTGCTGCTTTGTTTGTCAGTTGTTACATGTCGTCGTTACTGTTTGCGTTGTAATTTTTACTTTGGATATATTACATACTGCTGGCGTAATCACGCACTTACATGCACGCACACACTCATACACACGCACACATTTTGCAGGTAGTGAAACGAAGCTTCCAGTATCCTTTCATCATCTCATCCTACCCGAGAAGTACCCGCCACCAACTGAACTCCTTGACCTTCAACCTTTGCCCGTCTCTGCTCTAAGAAATCAAAGCTTTGAGGCGCTCTACCAGGACCAGTTCAAGTCTTTTAACCCCATCCAAACTCAAGGTAGGTGGTTGATAATTTGGAATTAGGAAGATATTAATGATAATTTGAAATTAAGAAATCATGTTGCTATAATCTATTCGTGTTGGTAAATTGTTTAGCTGAGTCCCACAACAAATTCAAACAGTTAAAATTCACGCTACACATATTTACACTTCTACCTAATAGTTATACACTTCTGTGCATACATATAAATGTGCTCACTCATGTAGCATAGTAATACGTATATGAATGTACACTTTTTTGCAGTTTTCAACGCCCTGTACAACAGTAATGACAACGTGTTTGTCGGGGCTCCAACAGGAAGTGGAAAGACGATCTGCATCGAGTTTGCCATCTTGAGGATGTTCACACAGGATCCAAACAACAAATGCGTCTATGTTACTCCCATTGAAGCTCTTGCTCAGTTGGTCAGTTGGTTTGCTTGCTGGTCACGTAATGTTGCAATTGTGAGGATTGTGGTAATGAATGTGATGATGTCGGTGGTGAATATGTTGATAATGACTGCGGCTATAGAGGTGTGATGTTAATGCATGTTGCAAGCACCTTTCAACGTTCGTACATTTTGTGCCCAGGTCTATCAGGGATGGTTGCAGAAGTTTGGCAAGCAGCTGGGCAAGAAGGTCGTCCTCCTGACTGGGGAGATGGCTACTGATTCGAAACTCTTTGCCAAGGTAGGTGCAGGTCAAACATCATCATCATCATCATTATTATTATTGTTGTTATTTTTATTATCACAATCTCAATCGCTACCACTGCCAAAACAAATGCCTTCTAATGTTTCATTATCATTTTTGTTTATAACAAATTTCAAAACAATTTAATTTCAATTCTGCCTAACTTACGTTGCGCTAACCTCCAGGGACACATCGTGATCGGCACTCCGGAGAGGTGGGACGTGCTATCGAGGAGGTGGAAACAGAAGACTGCCATCAAAAACATCAGCCTCTTCGCCGTCGATGAATTACATCTTGTCGGTGGAAATGATGGGGTGAGTTACGATGATGATGATGATGATGGTGGTGGTGATTGTGGTAGGAATGGGGATGATAGTGATGATGACGGTAGGAATGGTGATGATGATGATATAGTTGTTTTTCACGGCTACAATGATGACGGAATTAAATTTTAAAACTTGCCGGATTTTTATTTCAAAATATTCCCAATGATTTTGTACAGCCGGCATTTGAGGTTGCAGTCTCTAGAATGAGGTTCATCTCGACGCAGATTGAAAACTCCATCCGCATCGTCGCCATGAGTTCCTCTCTCTCCAACGCCAAAGATGTCGGCCAGTGGCTGGGCTGCACGTCAACATCCTTCTTCAACTTCCACCCCAATGTCAGACCCGTGCCATTGGAGTTGCATATTCAGGTCTGTTTCTTCTGTTGTGGTTGTTGTTTCTGCTGCTGCTGCTGCTGCTGCTGCTGTTGTTTGCAATGCATGTTGGTGAAAACGGTCCGTCGATAACAATCATATTTCCATCATTGTCATATCTATAAAACACAAAATCACTAACTGAATATTTTCTTTTTATTTTCCTTCATATCATGCAGGGCTTCAACATCACTCACAATGCATCGAGGATCATGGCCATGACGAAACCTGTCTACCACACGATCCTCAGGCACTCTCCCAAGAAGCCAGTCATCATCTTTGTGCCGTCCAGAAAGCAGACACGCATCACTGCCTACGATCTTCTGACTCTCTGTGCAGCGGATCTGCATGAGAACAGGTTCGTTCACGTCAAGCAAGAAGACCTAGTGCCCTATGTCGAGAAGTTTCAAGATAAGGTTTGTGTGGTGTATGTATGTGTGTGTTTGTATATGAATGAGTGTTTGTTTGTGTGCGCGCATTGCTTTTGGATTTGTGAGTAGGAAGCAATCAGGTGATGTGAACACAAGTATTTGTTATTCAAATGTTTTTAAAATCCTAAATAATTCATCTTTGTATTCTTGATAAATTTTATGTCAAGAGACAATCTGAAATTGGTACATCATTTAGAAAATAATAACACACAAATAATAATTCACTATGGAAATAACCACCAGCAATTCAATCATTTGATTATAATTTCCCATCAACCCTTCAACCCTGTTAAACAGATGGTAAAAGATTCAGTCTTGAAGGGCATAGGTTATCTACACGAGGGCCTAGTAGAACTTGACCGAAGACTTGTGGAGCAGTTGTTCGAAGCAGGGGCCATCCAGGTCATCATCGTGTCAAGGTCATTGGCATGGAGTCTCAGCGTGTCTGCCTATCTTGTGATCGTCATGGACACCCAGTGCTACAATGGAAAGATACACGCTTATGAAGATTACCCCGTGACTGAAATCTTGCAGATGATTGGTCGGGCTAATAGGCCCCTTCTTGATGACGATGGTTTGTTTTATTAATATTATTATTATCAATATTATTATTATTATTGTTATTATCAGTTTTTGTTATTGTTATTGATTACTTTTTTTTATTTATAATTCACCAGGCAAGGCGGCCATTTTGTGCCAGTCTTCAAAGAAAGATTTCTTCAAGAAGTTCCTCTACGAACCACTGCCAATTGAAGTATGAGTTTTGTTATTTGACTGTGTTATTGATCGATTGATTAATTGATTGATTGATTGGCTGGTTGATTGAATGGTTGATTGATTGAGTCAGTTAACAAATTAATATATAAATTATTGAATAATTGATTGATTGGCACATCCCTACAGTCGCACTTGGACCACTGCTTGCACGATCACTTCAATGCAGAGGTAGTGACGAAGGCCATAGAGAACAAACAAGATGCAGTCGATTTTCTGACCTGGACCTTCCTCTACAGGAGAATGACCCAGAATCCTAACTATTATAATCTTCAGGGTTTGTAGTTTTTTTTATTTTTGATTTTGTGTTTTTGATTTTTGTAAATTTAGTTCCTGGCTTATAATAGCGAAATATTTGCTATTTGATAGCTAACTATGATGAATATTGGACTAAATTGATTCATTACTTGCAGGCGTTACACATAGACATTTGTCGGATCACATGTCTGAGCTAGTTGAGAACACACTCAGTGATCTGGAACATTCTAAGGTATGTGTGTATCTGTGTGTGTGTATCTGTGTGTGTGTGTGTGTGTGTGTGTGTGTGTTTGTTTGTGTGTATGCACACTTCATTTGATATCAATTTTTCAATCAATTATTTAATTAATTAATCAACTGACCAACCAATCAGTGCATCAGCATAGAAAACGAAATGGACATAGGACCACTGAACTTGGGCATGATAGCCAGCTACTACTACATCAACTACGTTACTATCGGTTCGTCCTTCCTTGCATTCGTTATCTGTAACAATTTATGTATTGTTTTGTTCTAGCATGTGGGCGAAGTTTGATCTAACCATCATCATCATTTTTAAATATCACCACCACTAACCGTTGCACATTAGAATCATTATATCACAGAGCATATACAATGGTGTAACTTACTCATATAATCACATCATCGCCAATACAGAACTGTTCAGCATGTCGTTGAACAGCAAGACGAAGATCCGAGGCCTCATTGAGATCATCGCCAATGCATCAGAGTACGACAGCATCCCAATCCGTCATCACGAAGATTCCATCCTGAAACAGCTGGCCGCCAAACTTCCCAACAAGTTGCAGTCTCCCAAATTCAACGACCCCCACGTTAAAACTAATCTGCTCCTACAAGCTCATCTGTCCAGGATGCAACTCGCTCCGGAGCTCATGACGGATACGGAGGAGATACTCGGGAAGGCCTACAGGTTGATACAGGCGTGCGTTAACGTTCTCAGTAGCAACGGCTGGCTGGCTCCTGCACTGGCCGCTATGGAGCTGTCCCAGATGGTCACTCAGGCTATGTGGAAAAAGGATTCCTACTTGAAACAGCTGCCACATTTCAATTCCGATGTCATCAAGAGGTTCAATGATAAGGTTCGTTTGCTAAGTTCTATTTCTTTTTTCTATCCAAATCATTGTATTTTTTATTTCCATGTTTATTCCAATTTATTCCTGTTCTTCAGAAATGATTTTTTTTATTTACGCCTTATAATTTCATACTTTCCAGAAAATAGACTCCATATTCGACATCATAGAGATGGAGGAGGAGGAGAGGAATGAACTCTTGCAGATGAGTGAGCTGGAGAAGGCAGACGTGGCTCGCTTCTGCAACAGATATCCCAACATTGAACTGACCTACGATATCATTGACAAGGAAAACATCGCTAGGTTATTTAATTTTTTCACTAGATATTCTTTACGGAGATAATTAAAAATCGTTTAGTGTAATATTTGTTTAACAAGATGTATCTAGATGTATCTATCAAAAAATTTTGAAATTTTTTTAAAAAGTGGATCAACGGTGAAAGTGGAGGTGACCCTTGAAAGAGAAGACGAATTTGCCGGCTCCATTATGGCGCCATTCTTTCCACAGGTTAATTAACTTTTTAATTAAATTTTTAATAAATTAAAAATCTTTTATTATCTGAAAAAGATTTTTATGTTAATTTTATTGAAGAGTATTCATTGTACGTAATTATCTTCCAATTTTTGAAAATCCTGCTACCTTGAAAGTTATTTTTAAAATAAATAATTACCAGAAACGTGAGGAGGGATGGTGGCTGGTCGTCGGCGACCCCAAATCAGAAAACCTGGTGGCCCTCAAGTGGTTCTCCCTGCAACAGAAAGTCAACAAGGATTTGGACTTTGTGGCACCGCATCCAGGCAAACACACCTACACACTCTACTTCATGAGTGATGCCTACATGGGATGTGACCAAGAGTACAAGTTCACGATCGACGTTAAAGACGAGAGAATGGACAGCGATTAATTAATCAATTAATTAACTAATTAATTAATATTGTTAAACAATTATTTTACGGAGTACTGTACTTTTAATGTATGATCGGAATTTTAATTTTTCATGAACTATTCTAGTTTTCATTAAATAAAAATCGCTATTCTGTTTATTTCGGCGTCTTATGAGTTTGGTGTTAAATGTGCGTAATGAATATAAAACAACATAAACACAATAAATTTGCTTATTTAATTTTTAACGAGTTGAGTTTCGGATGTCAATCAGCGTTTGCAAATGGAGAATTTGTCAACATGTTTGAGGAGATACAAGATTTTTTATTGGTAAAAGTGCTTTTAAGATGACGGTTCGTTGAAATGTGTGCCGTGCGTTGCTATAGAATATAAATAACTAAGCTCTAGTAGTCTAGTCGGTCATTCATACTATAAAAAATAAATTAATTTATAATGAAGGATCGAGTGGCGAGGGTTGACGACAAACGAGCATTAGATTCGGGCATGTTGAAATTTTTTATTTCAATTTAACTGCAAATTATTAATTTTGTTTAGCTCTTCATGTTCAACTAACGTAGAATCAAACCACCATGAAACCACCTTTTAGCTGATGAGTACCCGAAACATGATCCCGATCTGATGAGGTTGTACAGTATGCGCTTCTGCCCGTACGCCGAAAGAATTAGACTCATGCTGCAGTTTACAAAAATCAAGTTTATCTTCAACCATTATTTTTACTAAAAACTTTCTCTAACTTGTCTAAACTTAACATAAAATAGTTATATTTCTAACCCGAATCAGATACGAAATAATCAACATAAACATATTCGACAAGCCGAAGTGGTTTATAGCAAACGTCAATCCAGATGGAACCATTCCAGTCCTCCAATACAAAAATGCTATATTGACGCAGTCTTCCATATGTAATGAATATTTGAACGAGGAATTCGGAGAAAATAAATTTCTATCCAAGAAACCCTTATCGAGAGCCCAGCAAAGAGCTCTTATCGCGTCCTTCGATAAAGTAACTAATTTCCTCCAATTGAAGAAATAATTATCTTTCCTCGTCTCATTATCTCTACAGAAACATTACACTAATAATATTTAATTTTAAGGTATCCACTCCATTCTCTGAAATCAATAAAACAAGTGACCGATCCGTACATAAAGCAAACTTACCGAAGCTACTCGATGGTCTCGGTTTCTATGAAAAAGAATTAAAAGGACCCTTTTTCGGAAGTAAATTGATCGATTTAACGTTTGTAAAACTTCGCGAGAATGCGGCAGATTTTGTTGCAATTACATTTTTAATTGTCGTGACTTTTTGATGAAATGTTTAATCGTTTAAATACATGATAACTGAAAAGAAACGATAAATTTGTTGACAGATCAGAAGTATCCGAGTCTGATTGACATAGCGATCTGGCCGTGGTTCGAAAGGTTTCCAGCTATCAGCAAGTTGAATCACCTGGATATAATGTCTGAAAGAGAATTCCCTAAGCTCTCCTGCTGGGTTAAAAACATGAAAAAGCTTAAAAGTGTTCAAAGAGTCTCCTTGCCTGTTGATTATCACGTCAAATTTTACGAGAAAAAACAAATCGGGTTCACGGATATAGTTGACATTGGATTATAATGAAAGATCATTTTAAACATTTACATTTTTATTTCTTTTTAGTTAAAATATTTAAATAAATATTATTTTTGAAAACAAATGCTGCGCTTTGTTATTATCGAACAATAAAGAGAGAACCTGCCAGCACTAGCATAAGAGATGAGATAAATAATTCATAAACAAACGTACAGTGCAAGTATCAAGGTACGCATGCCAGTCGGTTGTTGTTTTGTGCAGCGTTAGTTAATCGTTAATATCATCATCTATCGACGATGACAACCGCTAAAGCCTACAGAAAAGGTTGGTTTAATTGGCAATCAACATTTTTAATAGGGTTTTAATTGTTAAATCTTACTTTCTCGTGAAATTTGTCGCACCATACCGGGTTGTACGGTTTACATTACGATCTAATTTTCTGGATGTTATAATGTATTAACCGTTATGCCTTACATTACATAGTAAGTATATCGAAAATACTGATTAATCTTAACTAACGCTAAATGTGTAGAGTAATATTTCTTACAAAAAAATTATTCATTGAAAATTTTGAAAGACTTGAAATAACGTTTTCTTTGCACAGGTTCTGTATTTCCGCCTTTGGAAAAGGGCAAGCTTCGTCTTTACAGCATGCGCTTTTGTCCGTACGCTGAACGAACCAGAATGATCCTGCAATTTTTGAACGTGCCGTAAGTTTCAATAGGGTCACTAGTAATCTAGACATGAGACATCATTCAAATTTACTTGAATGTTTTACTTCTTCTATGTAACAACGTTTGTTTTAACATTGTACAGTCACGAAATTGTCAACATTAATCTCCGAGATAAACCTGATTGGTTCGTTGAAAGGAATCCTTTGGGACTGGTGCCCGTTCTTGAGATTGATGATAAAGTGATTTTCGAGTCTCCTATATGTGCAGAGTACATTGATGAAGTTTATGGTGACAACAAGTTGCTCACTAAAGACCCTTACAAGAGAGCCCAGCAGAAAATGTTGCTGGAAAGATTTTCTAAAGTAGTTTGAGTTTTTAGTTTGAGGCCTTTTAAAAAATTGTTTATTTAATTATTTATCTCAATTTGTAATCTTATTGAATTATATTTTCTGTTTATTAATTTAGTTGCCTGTAGGCTTTTATGCTGGTTTTAGGAGCAAGGACCCTGAGGAGTTGAAAAAAGGCTCTGCTGAAGTTAATAAGGTCCTGCAAATTTTTGAAGATCAACTCACCACGAAATACTTTGGAGGTTAGTTTTATTAACATATGGTATTGCTAAGCTTTTCATATTGTTATCGTTTTTAAAACTAAAGGAGATCACCCAAATCTGGTTGACTTGCACATATGGCCATGGTTTGAGAGATTCGAGTTGGTTAAGCAGGTGTCTGGACATGAGTTCATGAAGGAAGGGGTCTACCCTAAGTTGGACCACTGGATGAAAACCATGTATGAGTTGCCAGCTGTTAAGGCCTGTCTAACTCCGACGAAGGATAATGTGGAGTTCATCAAACAATACGCTAACCCTGATGTTGCCATACCTGATTATGATATTGGTCTTTGAGAGAATTTGATTTATTGAATTATATCCGCACCTGGCTGTCATGACCTTGCCATCATCACGTCCTTTAAGAGGGTCATCAAAAATTTGTTTAATTTTTTCTCTTTTCAGTTTCTGTAGTTGAGTCAAATTTGTGTTTTGAAATTTGTACTCTTATAATTTTGGCTTTGAATGATGATAAAAATTAAATTGTGGCGACCAGAGCAATCATGCTTCTATTCAACGAAATTACATCTCATGTTTATTGAACTACGATTTATTGCCGTATCTTAAATTTTATTTTTAGTTTGCGCGGAATAAAGCTTGCATTAACATTTGTTATTTCAATCAACAACTAAAAGTCAGTTTCATGTTTCATCCAATAATTCTTGGTCGAAATGAAATTTGCTGACAATTTGAGTTTACAAAATTTAGGCACATAACTTCAACGTCATATGAACAAAAAGCGAAGAACGAATTCATCATCAATTAATATAATTCAACATTAATTAGGTTCATTTTCAAAACGATATTATATTAAAACTCAGAAATGTCACTTTATAACGTATGTTTATGTAAAGTAAATATTTTCCACTTTATAATGGCGATGCATATAAGAAGTAATAAAACAGATAAATGAAAAATTAATCTCGTAAGCAGACGTTAGTTTTATGTAGAACTGATGTTCGACGATGTTATTAGACTGGAATGATATTGGTGTTGCATAGAAGTGTTATACATCCTTAGGTTTGTCTGCAACAATAAGCTTTTATAAATCGGTAAAAAACTTACTAAACGTGTAGCTTGCTCAAGTATTGTATTGTTAGGCTCACATTAAGAGGCTTTATATAAAAAAATACGTCTGTAAGCTGTTATGAATAATTTAAATGCTTTCACATGTTTATAGCTAAGCTTAATTAAACGCAAGGATGGTTCAAGTAAAATAATCAAAGTAAAATAAAAAAATTATTTCTGGAGATTAAATAAATTTTAACAAAGTGACGGTTCATCAGGATAATTAAAAATAATTAACGACCGCCAACAAATTAGATGAACTTCCGACTAATTATTCCTTGAACAACTTAAAATTGATAACTGGATCGTTGGTTAACAAGAGCAAAAGAAAAACAAATGCAAATAAAATAAAATAGAAATTAATTACAAATCAAAAGCAGGCATTCAAATCATCCGTCTCGACGTAACAAACGTACGGTTCCTCTAACTCCGCCAGCAAAATTTCAATCTGTAGCACTCCACTCTCCGTCAAATCGTACCTGATTGATTCAACCTGGATGCTTTCCGGAATGCGAAATTCTTTTTTTAGCTCCCTGCGAGTCACTTGAGCCCCTTCCAGACCTATCTCGGCTTCGTACCACGCCCTTACCACCAATGAGTGACCTTCGCTGCTGACCTGTCAGAAGATGAGATGAGATGAGGAGAGTTGAAAGTGCATTACTTCTATCTATAAGTTTAACTGTAACGAACGAATAATAACCCTTCAAAAGAAGTTGAAACTTCACGAAGGCTATTTAGCAATCCATAATGTTTAAATACATTTGAAATGCTCTTCAATAAACATCAAAAGATGAATTAAAACTGAAAAGAGAGTACCCACCTTGACGTCATCAATGGTGAAGTCAGGTCCGATCGGAATCTCCAACCGGATGTACCTCCTGTTGTCGTCATCGGTAACTATGGGGATGAGAGCAGGGTTGGGCGGCACCGGTGATTGAACGGTTTTTGGGAGATGGAACGGCATTGAGACGGTCAGGATTCCATCTTCCGACATGACGCAGTCGACATTTGTAGTGTCAGCTGTTTCCGGTAGATCTATCTGCCTCCTCATTGTCTTGCGGTACACTGCGTTATCCTGGTCATCCAGGCATTGAGCTGTCATTTCCAGGCGGTTATCCACAATCTTTGAAAATTAGAATTATTAAACTCATTTGTAATATTATTAAAATAATTTGGGATAATTTCAACTCATTTCGTCATTTAATACTTTTTTTAATTCATTTCATAAGTGATTTGGTTGCGGTAAACTATTTAAGTAAAAAATTTTGGACGGAGATTTCATAACTTTGAAACTTTGAACGGTACATCAACAAAAATGAGTGATACCATTATAATTGGTATCAGACATGTACAACGTACAAATGCATACAAGAATAACTTTATAATAATAAGTTTAATATTATTAATTATAATAATACTCCATGATAATTTCACTCAAACGCTCTATTACGAATAAAATAATAATCACTCTTATAAGATAAAGGCACAACAAAGCCGTAAATCATCTCATCTTTCATGATCAAATTATTCTTAGAACGAAAAAAGCTAGCTGAGAGAAAGAAGCCCGATTCTATTTTTTAATTTTTGCAGACATTATTTACAATTATTTCTTTTACGCTATTGAAACTTGCAAATCACAAAAAAAAAAAGATGAATTGGAACAACCCTTCATTAACCATTCACAATTTTGTTTGTAAAATTTTCCAGTACTTGCTCAAACACCCTGGCACATAAAAAAAAACTCACACATATGTACACCCCCCCCCCCCACACACACACACAAACGCGCACACATACATACGCACGCACACAAAAAAATATCTAGCGTTGAATATAAATAGAAACAGAATACAGAACATGGCATAATATAGCATGTGTTCATCTGAATGTATCACCTAACATTGTTAAACATACATTTATAAACAAACATGTTTAATCCATATCACCATCATCAGTTTTATCATCGTCATCTTCAGTGACGTCATCGTTATCACACGCAGTATACCGGGGCGTTATGAACCACGACTAAGGTGATAAGAATGATGATGATTGTGATGATATATATATATATATATATATATATATATATATATATATGATAACGATTCTGATAATGATAAACTTTTGATGATAATTACTACGATGACGATAAATTTAAAATGAAAATAAAGCAAGCAAATTAAAATCATACACCTCTCGCTCTAGGTAGCGTCAAAGTTTATTGAAAGAAAAAATTTCTTTCTCGTTGCCTAAAAATTCTTTTTACGAAAACTTTCTACTTACCGGTTTTATTTATCTCCCTCATCATCTTCCTCCTCCTCATCATGTTTATTATTATCATCGTCGTCGTCGTCATAACTATCACAATGACCAATTTGCTGAACGTCGGTTTGTTTTATTTTATTCACCAGGTTTATTCAATAAATAGAATAAATTACGTTCCGCATTAAATGTTTTAAAAGTTTTTTTGTTTAATATTACAAGTTATCACAATTTTAACAATATACAATTAAAATGTTATTAGTATTCAGAATAATTAAAAACACCTCAAAGTGTAGATTACTGATGTTATAAAAAGGGGGGGGATAAGTGTTACGCGTAGACGGATACCCCTATTGAAATGTTTTAAAGTTTGAAGCCGTTGTGAAGGCAAGCTCCACTAGAAAATATTCCAATTAGTTATTACCCATCAAAAGTTAAAGGCCAGTTTAAATTTATTTAAAATTGAATAAAAATCATTTGTGTAGTATATTATTATTATATTAGGATATTATATTAGGATATTATATCAGGATATCATATAAAGATATTATATTGAATTATATATATCCAGGATAAAAATTGATTTTTTAATATTAAAATCATCACGTCACCATTGTCATAAGCATTTTTATCACCGTCATCATCACGGTTGTTATTATTTTTATTGATGTTGTTATTATTACAAACAACGTCATCATCAGCAGCACCATCAGCAGCACTAAAACAAACATTATCGAAGGTTATAATACGGATAAACAAACAAACAAACTCTACGATACTTTTCCGTGATATTGAGAGAGAGAGAGAGAGAGAGAGAGAGAGAGAGAGAGAGAGAGAGAGATGATAATGATGAGGATGATAAAACTGATGACGGTGATGATGATAACGATGATGATGAAACTGATGATGATGAAGATAATGATAACGATGGTGATGATGAAGATAATGATAACGATGGTGATGACGATAGCGACAAAAAGATGAAGACGACGATGAAACATAATGATAATAACGAAAACGATGATGACGATGCAATATAATAATTACCTGTATTCATGCTTCGCTGCTGAAATCGCCAACGTTGAATTATTATTATTGTTGTTATTATTGTTATCATTATTATCAACATTAGTAGTAGTAGCAGCAGCAGAAGAGGTAGTAGTAGTAGCAGCAGCAGCAGCAGTAGTAGCAGCAGCAACAGCAGTAGTAGTAGTAGCAACAGCAGTAGTAGTAGTAGTACAGCATTGATTGCTATTTACATTGCAATCGTTGTTACAAGTTTTGTGGCAGTCGTAAGATGAATAATTATTTAGACTATAATAATGAACCATAATGAAACTAATTAAAAGAACACCACTATCATCGTCATCATCATCACTATTATTAATAATATGATAATAATACTATCATCATCGTCGTCGTCGTCATCATTACCATCAGTTTCGTTGAGTTATGTGTCTGAACGAGAGTTGCATAACGTAACGTAATGTTTGTTTATTATTATTATTACTTTTACTACAACTACTACTACCGCTACTAGCTACTACTACTACCACCACCACTACTTCTATTACTATAATTTTTAGTTATTGTTATTATTATCAGGGATTATGATGTTATTGTTGTTATTATTATTATTGCTCACAATGACGTCATTATCAGTGTTATTTTGTAGTTTTTTTTATTGTCTGCGTTCTTGTTCATCCTATCAGTCGCAAAGACAAACCGATGACAACAATGATTAGGTTCACAGATGATGACGAAAAAGATGATGATGATGACGAAGAAGAAGATGATGATGACGTAGATGATGGTATTAATAGCAATGTTTGTGTAAAAAAAATACACGAAATATAACAAACACTATACTGATTATGAATTGCTATATTTATTGCAAACCTCCACTCAGATCATCATCATTAAAACCATCATTATCATCATTAGCAAAACCATTGAATCGTCATCATCATCGTCATCATAATATCCCGAATCACCTTCGTCATCATCATCAACGAAACCATCACCCTTGACATCATCATCATCACTATCATCATCGTATCACCACAATTTCCACAAGTATTTAACTATATTTACGCGTTTGTAAATAGGCGCGAAATTATCGAACGAGAAATGCTGCCGATAAACTTCGGACCGAAATGTCGTCTGCACTGGCTTACCTTGCTACCTACCATCTATTTCAATGTCTATTTTTTAAAATTTTGGCCCTATTTCTAGCAAATTTTACCCCTTTTTTATAACAAACTTGATTCTTGATTCAGAAAATTCGGCCTTAAACATTTTATGCGTGAATTATATTCTCGGATACTACTATAAGAAAAACCAAAATTATGAAATACCCTGAGATTCAAGGCAAACAAGAATGTAATATAAGCTTATTAAGCCTTACGTGTCTGTGTTTGTGTATCCTACTTTTTCACCTATGTTATATGATATCCACTCATTTTTTCTTATTTTTTGTTTATTCATTCGCTTGTTAATCCATTCATCTATCCATCTATCATTCATTCATTCCTCCATCATTCGTTCGTTCACTCATTCATATATTTTTTTCTTTCTTTAACAGGCACAAAATTTATTTAAATACCAAAACATGCACCGTAAAACGTTTGAATGATTGCTATCGACGTCACACAAATACCCCATTATTATTATTATTACTATTATCATTAGAAGTAGTAGTTATTATAATAGCAGCAGCAGCAGCAGCAGCAGCAGCAGCAGCAGCAGTAGTAATAGATCACAAGATGAAGATGATGAAAATGACGATGGGGCTGGTAGAATAATAATCACATTAATAATGATTTAATTAGCATAAGAGCGGATACGGAATAAGTTGGTTACCATGGCTACAAATATGGCCAAGTCATCATATGCCTCTCCACACACACGCACGCACGCACGCACGCACACACACACTTTTCATACACACAAATATATGTAGAGAAAAACTTATTAACGTACAAAAATAAAATACACACATAAACGCACTTTCATACGCACACACAAACATACACATATAAACATTTAGTACATTCATACATACGTACAAAAACACATACGTACATGCAGACACAAATACGTATACACACGCGTACACACGCACATTTATAGACACATGTGTACAACACATGTCTGAATGCTAATGTACAATTCGATTAATGCAGATCACTATCAACGCCACCACCACCGTCATCATCATCATCATCATCATCATTGTTATCATCATCATCATCATCACCGTCATCTTCATCAGCATCATCAATTTTTTAAATCATACTACAATTACTACTACTGCTGCTACTACTACTGCAACTGTTTCTGTTGCGACTTCTTCTACTGTTGATAACGCAGTCATGCAAGAGTGTTTCAAACACTGATTTCAAACATTTCCTTATAACATATTTTTATTTGTCAATTAATCATAACCTGTAACAATATTTTTTATTTCACCATCTAGCCAGCCAGCCTGGCTCACTCAACAACATCGGTATCATATTTTATACTTCAGGCCTTTTTGATCATGACTTTTTTAATATTTCTGCTTTCCATTCATCGGTTTTACTCATGAAAAAATATCTTTAAGCTTCACTTTAAAAATTGAAAAAATTACTAAAAATTTATAAATAAATTATGAAAGATTATTTAATACATTAATAAAATAAGATTTAAAATAATAATTTAGAGAAAAATCTCTAAAAAAAAAGCCAACTTGAACATTGATCTCATCAGGTTTGAAATGTTTGACGTCGAAGACGGCCTTGAGTACCAGACCTCCACCTTTCGACTCGATGTAAGCCGTGTCCACGGGCTGCTCAATTC